TGAAATAGAAATTTCAATATAATATAAAAGTATTGTTTAAGAAACTCCGCTGAGATCAAAAGTCTAAAAACACATAAAATTTGACATTTTTTCTATATATCTGGCACAACCAGAACACGAAAGATAAAACAAAAATTTGTACTAAGAACTGAATAAAAAAATCGATTTCAATACCAATTTGAGCCAAAATCCGTTGCAAAAACTGTCAATTTAGGGCCATATTGCACAATGAAAATGATACCAAATGTATTCTGGACATGATTGGGTATGGAATTATCTAAAAATAATGCACACACTGTTATTAATCCAGACCTGCTTCAAATGGTACTCAAATCTCGGAAATGAATATCTCCGGTCCCTTCATGTTAAACAAACCCTCTGTGGGAGTTTCTTTCGAGACAAAAGGATTAGTCTATAAAGGATACCTTACATATATTAGTGGAAAATCAAATTTATGGAAAATAAAAAGAAATAGTAACAGCACTATTTCTATAGAATAAATTGTGTTGTGTGACTACATTAATTTTCCATTGTTTTACATTTCAGGGTCAAGTTAAGTTTCGGACCTTGCCAATTTACGGAAAGAAAATATCACATTTGATTTTTGCAGTAGCCCGACACACAAATGTCGATATTGGTACTAGGCCTGTTTTGAACTGGTTCTTTGAGATTAGCAGTAAATCCGACGCTTTTCATAGGTAGGTCAATTTTATTATCCTAAACTGTACAAGTTTAGTTTTATCTAATTTCAAAGTCATCACACGCGCGCTTTAATAAAAAAGATACCTTTTATATTGAATTAAAAGAACAAGGAAGGTAAGCCGAAATATAAGTGGCTAGCCTTTGCCAGCCATAATAGAGCAAAGGACATCTGCATATCCATGTAGCCTTACCAGGCTTTATGATGGTTGTAGCTTTTTTTTCATTTTTGATACTGAAATCCCTTGAACTTTGAATGGATTGTACTCAGTTTAAAGCTGGAAAAATCCCCCATTAAACAAAAACCAAAATCAGCAGGTTAAGGGCTAAACTGGTTGAGTTTTGTCTTTAATATTTTTATTCAATTTGAACGTCTATTAATAGTACTTTGGTACCTTCACCGTGAAACGTTTTCCTTCCTTTTTCTCTACCATTGGACATAAGACTTCTTTCACTCAAATAAATGGTATAGACATAAGACTACATATTTTTAACCCACTGGTTTAGACATAAGACTACTTTTACTCAACCATTGGTTTGGACATAAGACTACTTTCACTTCAACCATTGGTTTGGACATAAGACTACATTTACTTAACCATTGTTTAGACATAAGACTACATTTACTTAACCACTTGGTTTTAGACAAAATACTTTTTTTTCAACCACTTGTTTGGACATGAGACAAATTTTCGCAACCATTGGTTCAGACATAAGAACTAACTTTAATAGTAATGATTATGTATCTTGGAGATAAAAGGTTATATAAGGTTATATTTAATATGCACCCAATTTTCCAAGATGTGCATAGCGCCTAAATAATTACAGGGATGATACAAAAGGTTAAAGAGGGATTGCCAACGGGCGAAATACATCAAAGGAAAATTAGTTTGTTTTTGCCATCTTTCTTAAACATTTTTTGTTTTGATCCCTTGCACATTCGTTTAATTTTGGTGTTGATTAATGTTATCATCAAGATGAAGGAAAAGGTCAGAGTGATTTACAAGCCGATTACAAAAAAAATTAGTAAATGTCTTGAGTATATCCCTCTTTAAAAGATCTTAAAAGTTTAAAAGAAGAAAAAAATTACCCTTTTTAAAGGATTTACTGTTCAAAAAACCTATGTTTAAAATGAAAGTCCCGGGGGAAAGAAAGAAAAGGATTTACTTTGGAAATTTAAAAACCCTTTTATGTTTAATCGGCCCCAAAATTGCCCAAAGCAAAATCAGGGGAGGTTAAAAAAATTTCTTTTTTTTTCATCATTTTAAAACCCCGTGGTTTTGAAAAAAAAATTTCATTTTTGATTTAAAAATAAAAAACCAATTAATTTTTTGAGACCTAAAATTTTTGCAATTTCTTTCCCATTTTAAAGAAAAGGTTTTTTTAAATATATCTTTCAAATTTACTAAAAATTTATATAAAAAACATTTTGACCGGGAAAAATTTTTGATTAATTCGCTGTAAAACCCCCTATTGATTCAAGTAAAAGCTTTTTCACACACTTTTTTACCGTATGGTATTTTTGTCAAATATCACTCACCATCATAATCAGTTAAACTCTTTGATAAAATATATTTTCTAGGAGGTCTGGTTAATAGCAAAAAAATCAGGTTTCATGTTGAAGTACGATAACGCATAAAAATAGGAGAAAAAAACAAGCATATTACTTGTTTCATTGTTCTTTTGAATAAAACATCTTTTGAATGACTTTAAAGTGATAACTGAAGATAAGGATTAACTTGACACTTAAAATCATCGTGATAATCATGAAGAAGTCACGTTTAGTTATGATAAAAAAGTAATAGGCTTTCATCTTTCATCCTTAACCCTTTTGGGTGCAAATCGTTTATTTCTGTTAACGCTGTACGATAAAAAAATGAAATAATATAAATAGGTCATACAACAACAAGCATTATAAATGAATATATAAAAATGCATGTTAGAAAGTCGGTGAGGAAAAAATTAGTTATCTGATATAATTGTTCCTGTTCAAGTTATTCTAGGGCAGTTTTTAGAGTTTTTTATGATTTATAATCTTTGATGATAGACATGTAAAAAGTGACATTGTTTTTTTAATGGCTCATTGTAAAAAATATCTTATTTATATTTTTGACATTGATTCTGATTTTCAAATATATGTAAGGCGGTAAAGTTTTCATTACGTTCTATTTTTAATTCCCTTAACATAATAAAACATAATTATATATGATTGTATTTTTTTTCTCCTTTCATTAGGCTTTTTTACGTTAAATTGTCATCTTTATAGTCCATATTTATTCTCGTATAAGTTATAGGTACTTAAATTATCATGTGTATATGATTAAATTCAATATTGTGATAAAGAGATATTTGATCTGTGTATTAATTTTAGGAAAGCACAACTTAAGATTTAATACAAAATAAAAAAAATCATACTTTCTTTTACCATATGTTAGATTCTTAAAACAAAATAATGGTTACATTACAACGTGTAGTTTTTCTTTAAGTAAAATGATTTTTTATTTCCACATATTGTTTACGTAAATCAAATTTACATTAACATTAACTCGGATTATTAACCTAAATAACGACCTCTTGTTAATTCTAAATATAAATCACCCTTGTATTTACATATTGCTGCTAACGATAGTTTTGTTTTGTTTACATAAACAACTAAACTTTACCATATTACAATGCGTATAACATACTTGGAAATAAATCGTATGAAATAAATATACATGATTATACTGCTTAGGTAGGTCAAAATCTTATCTATCTTAACATGCATATAAACATATGTATAAATTGTTTATTAAGGACCCGGATGTGATTCATTATGTAGCCCAGCAGGACTTCTTGCCGGAAAGTGGAACAAGCCAATGATTAGCTACAGTCTGCTCGTCACGTGGTTTTAATGACAGGGGAAAAATACCCAAAACCTTTTTCAAGGAACAGGGCCCTTTTTGTGGAAATTTGGGCCCAAATTCAATCGATATTATAAAAAATTAACCCTTTGGGATAGAAATAGTCCTTGTAGAAGGCCCCCGGAGGAAGAATTTGGGGGGAAACTTGGGTTTTGGGGAATTTTTAGGGTAAAAAAATTATTTATAAGCCGAAAATAAATCAATTTATTTACTTGCATTTCTCGCAAATTCAGCAATCAATTATTTCCTCATTGCATGTTTAACATTCTGATAAATTGAAATAAAAAAAAACGTTAAAATTTCCTCAAGATTTTTAAATACACTACATGCACGTATATCAATTTATAAAACCTGTAGGCACTGATTACATTTAAGCCACTATGCGCTGTGTAGGTGTAACACACTTTAGAATGACCTTTTGCTGATTCAAGCACATTATTCTTTGTGACTGCTGCTTGAAATTTCCATTCTTGTTTAATGCCGGATTAATTTTCTTTCAGCAATATGTTACACATATCGAGTTAAAATATCTTTCTATTTTTGTCCTCTGTAAATATAACTGTCGACTAAATGATATATATGCTTCATTAAATATAAGATCTGACATATTTTGAAATACTAACAGAAATATATGTTCTTATCTCTTTTTTAAAAGCAATTACTGCATCGCAATGAAAAGTAAGGTACCTTTTGTACTCTAATGAATTTTTTTTTCTCGTAGGCACCAAGATTATAAATATTACTGAATTGCTTTTTTTTCTTATTTCTATTCGCAGACATCGAGACCACAGTGCTAAAATAGCATTGTCTTATATTCGTTCCATAAAACTCTATTTTGAGATAAGATAGACGAAACGGTTTCCTTTTCTCAAATTTAAAGTTGTGCTTGGTTATCACTTTTTTCTGGTCAATGGTTGAAATTTTTCCATTAATAAAAATAAAACCAGTAATTCTCATATTTTTGAATTGTTGCACATTTGGTTCACTCTAGCGAAACCTTCCTTGTTAATTATATAAAGTTGAGCTTACGAACTGATTACGAACTTTTTTTATAGATTTTTTGTTTAAGTATAGAATTGCCTCTGCTGGATTTGAAAACTTAGCTGCGTTTGATTGATTTTTTAAAAATGATTTTTAAAATATTGTTTAGGAATTAATTTAAAAAAAACAACGTTTTTGAATCTTTGCCATTATAAGTGTGATTTATGTTTCATTTAATTTTAATATTAGCGTGCAAGTATCAATATAATTTATATATTAAATTTAATTTCAGTTATTCGTGAAATAATACTATGTCGTGCTGATATTAGTAAATATTATGCAATAGATGCTAGTTTAAATTGGAGTTGTTTCAATATATTTAATGTGTTTTAATTAGAATTCAATTTTATCTTCCAGGTAATGTTTGAGATGAATAAAATTCGGACTGAAATCATGAGTATACCTTCTGATGCAACTCACAGTATACTTGAAAAACATTTACTACACGCGGCAACTGAGGCTAGAAGTAAGTATGTGAACCGTTAGGAAATATGTGCTACACAACAAAATACGGACATGATGTCCTGCACAGACTCAGTCAAACCGAGTCTGCAATTTAAAAGTAGTTTTGTTGTGATAAATGCTTCCGAGGGATCACCTTTCTATTTTTATTCTATTTGTGAATCAAAAAATTATTGCACGTACATAGCATATTTTATATGCTAAACATAGATTTAATTTCAACAGGGTGAAATTCAATATTAACCATTTCCATCCTTTAAAAAAGTTTCTCATAGGCCAGTTACAGGACTATCATTTACTTCTGTTGCTTTTATGCAAATTAGTATAGTTATACTGATTTAGTATTTTGTATACAGTCGGTATATAGTCAAAATACTAAATGTAATTTGTTAACGTTTTACTACATGTATGACAAATTATGTCACCTTTTCCTTTAGCACTTCTGTCTCCGGAAAAATAACATCTTACAATTTCTAAAACCGTTATTTAAACGTTATAAAATACATGTTTGCCCTTTCTAATGCTTTTTTAATGAAATAACGTATATTTGTTGGGTTTTTTTTTTCAGTTTTCATAATATGTGCTTACGGACTAGATGTACTGTACATTCTTTGCGCAGCCGACTCGGCAAATATGTTGAAAGGCGACCATGCATTTATAACTGTTGACTTTGCATATATGACTCAAACTAAACCTGAAGGGCGGCCGTGTAACCTGGACCACCTGTTAGAAGGTTTAATTATGTGAAATTTTTCTTTAAATCGTCCTATTTTTTTCTATCAGGCCGTAAGCAGATGGCAAAATAGCAGTAACAATTTCTTGTGACATCGTCTATACATGTCTGTAAATTCAATTTTTATGACGAATGTGCATGTTTTTTTTTAGAGCAAACAACCTTATTCAATTAATCAAAATACGCTACAGTGAATATTATTGGCAAACTGAGTCAAATTATCAAAATTAACGGCATATATTCTACGCGGCTCCTAATTTTTCATTTGTAGAATCATGATATTAGCATAAGTATATTTAAAATGTTTTGAAATTATTGTATAAAACATAAAGAAAATGAAATAATGTCTTTATATTCATTTAAAATAGAACATTTTTGTCGATAAACGTTGATAAAAAATAATTAGCAAGTTCAGATTTTATAGTATTATATACAAACATATCAATAATGGAGACTATTTCATCAACACAGAAACTGCTATTTCTGGAGTTTTAATATCGTGTTACTTTTAGGCATACTTGATGTGACTGTGCAACTTGATGAGGCATACAAAGGATATCAAGATTTTGTTCGGGAACTTATTGAGCGGATGGACGGGCAACGTGGAGCTGAGGTAAAAATGTTTCATACGTAAACGCTTTAAACGTCTAAAATGTACTTTATGTAGATTCTACCGTACCGGAGAAAGGTACAGTCTGCGTCCGTTGAACTTTGTCAAGAACTAGACTGTATCTTTCTAATTGTTATAAGTAAGCTGATCAGAAATGATTTACATGTGTATGCTTGCTTACTCAACGTCATCTCATGAATTATTGTTAATATGATTGCGATACTATGACGTCAAATTGACTTTAATTAGAAGTAACCTTGACCGTGCTCAGCTTAATAACTCGCAAAGTCCCCATTACTTTGATTATAAGAATTTATCAATCCATCTTAAAATGTTCTTTCTTGCCCATTAGGAATATCATTACCGTTAATTGTTTCTCCTCAAACAAATCGTTTTAGTCATTAAATCATTTGACATATCCTCGTGATAATGAGCAGTCATTGTACAAAGTTGTTCTTGGAGTAAAACATCTAGTGTTTAAGCTTTAATTATGGGCTGAGCTGTTTAGACATGATCAACTCCATGGTTGTAAGGCACAAAATACGACGATATAAATAAAAGCCTTCCACAAAATGTGAAAGTAGTCAATAAAGACTTGAAAACAATCACAGGTCTGACAAAGCTTTTTAGATGGACTGCACAACTACGCGCTACTCCTTAACTCTTCAAGTCTTTGTCGAAGTCCAGATAAACAGTTAAGATATCTTATTTTTTATCTTTAATGCAGACAGGTAAGCATTAACATTTTAGGGATTTTAAAAACTCTCAAAACATATTTCAGATTGGTATTCATTACGGAATGATATACGATGCAGTATACCTGTATGCTCTGGGTATGGACGCTGTTATAGGCCAGGGAGGAGATCCATCAGATGGCAAACTTGTCATAAGTCAACTTCTTCATCATTCATTCCAAGGTATAAAACTTCAAAATTAATTATTCAAATTTATAACAAAGTATTATTAATAACATATATAATTTGTTAAATGAAAAATGACATTTTTACTTATTTAAGTCACATTCTTTACCCGGAGTTTTCGACAATGTGAAGTTTTGAGCAGCAGGAACAGCCGATGGACAAAATTCAATTTATGCATTAGTAAATACATAATACAAGAGAACCATTTTCTAAATATCGACAAGCAAATAATAACATTAGGATGAATAACATTACAGGTCAATATGCCATTGAGAGATACAAAGATATTCTAAAGCCAGATGTACTTTTTCCAGCCGATCATTTTATTTTGCCTGTATGATTTAAATTTTGTCAAATGAATTTTCCAAACTAGCTCTGATAGGATCATTCGTCTTCTTGTGAAACTGTATAAATTAAGCAATCTGAAAGGTACTTTCAGAAGGAACTTCCTGTCATGACTCACTATAAAAACCGAAAGTAGTTTGTTGTTCCTTATTTATGTAGTTGAATGTTTTCGTGCCAATGTATCGTTTTTTTGCATTCAAATTTAGCCAGTTGCATTCCCACTATACCGATTCTAATTTGAGCCGCGTCAAGACAAAACCAACATAATGGGTTTGTGACCAGCATGGATCCAGACCATCCTGCGCATCCGCGCAGTCTGATCAGGATCCATGCTGTTCGCTATCAGTTTCTCTACTTGTTATAGGGTTTGTAAGCGAACAGCATGGATCATGATCAGACTGCGCGGATGCGCAGGCTGGTCTGGATCCATGCTGGTCGCAAACGCACCATGTTGGTTTTGTCATGACGAGGTTCGTTTCTATTTGCGGCGTAAATATTTTGTTCGTTTCGTTAACTGCAACTTTAACGATTCAATGTAGTGGGAATTGCAATAGCAGATGAATTATATTTTGTTGGCATGTTTGCAAATCAATTATTTGAATCATATTTGATCATAATAATATGTAGAGAAGCAAGGATTATTGCTAAGATTTGTGTTAATTTCAATCATTTATTGTTACGACAAATATATTACACTAGAAAATGGCTTGCACAAATTACAAACTTGTAAAAAATGGTTATTAAAGAGCCAGGTAGGCGTCAAAAATTTGCAATCACATCTGCTGCACATACCCTTGAGTATATCTGAAATGTTTCATTAGAAAATCAAACAGTTTCACATTACACTCAAAATGAAAGTTAATGCAACTGATATTTTCAAAATGATGCATTAAAAGATGTGAAATACGTGATCGCAAAACTTTACTAAAACTGCATGATTAAATGCAAATCATTCTGCAGAATCCCTTTGAAATAGATTGTAGACATTTTTTGTGTTTTTTTTCATAATAATTATATTATTTCTTTTGATGAAATTAAATGTCATGTCTTGGTATAAACATGCAAGTGATTTACAACTTTTTCACCATATAATCAGAGGTTCAACAATATTCAAATTCAAAAGGGCGTCGTAAAATTTTATCACATCATTAGTATTGGCTTTCGCCTTAAAAACAAACAGAATGAACTCAATCTTATTTTCATTTATGTGTATAAAATTTACTGGTCTAATCTCCAAATTCCTACTCTGTTTAAATAAAGGATGAGAATAGTTATATATAATTTAAATGGAGAGTAAATGCCTCAGGTTATGATAAATGTCATTACCTGTAAACTTAACAATTTATTTCTCCTCATTTGAACAATTTTCAAATTTCCATTAAAGTAACATTATGTCCATCCAAATATAAATAATATAAATAGTGACAGCACGGGTAAAAGTATAAATGAGTTTACATTTTGCAATAATTGTGTTAAATTTTATATTTTACTATACAGAAAATATCAACATTTCGTGTTGCCCACGTACATTAAAATATGGTTCAGGTTGTATAGGTATAACGTTCAATTTTTAAAAAGAGTGGGGCAGTTTTTTTATATTTTAGGCAGATTTATATTTTATCCTAAACATTTTCTAATACAAACTATTGGTCAGTCACAATTATAACAGGCAATCTTTTGAAAAATACAGTCGATTCAGCCCAATTTTACAATAACAAAATGAGCATAATGTCACTTTAAGAAAATATCTGGCAGTGTTGCTAATGATCGGCAATAACACTTGCGCAAAATGCATTGCAAAGCAATTAAAATATTTTTAAAAATCACTGCTAACAGTAGTGTCGATCTTAATGTGCTAAATAAATCCATGGGGAAATTTATTCCTGGAACAGCGCAGTCATAAAATGAAATTTAATGTGTCCTAAAATGATTAAATTTATATTAGAATATTGCACGTGTATTTATGTTCTATGTTTGGAAATATTTTTAAAAACTATTGTGGCACGATATGACGTGCAATAATATTTTATTGTTTCTGCATCAAACGAATGTTACCATGGTTATACTTTATGTCTATAATTATGAAGGTGATTATAGATAGAATAGTAATCTTTATTTACATCTCATCACTGCACAAACATTAAATACACAGCGTTTATACCATAGAGTAACAAAATTAACCAAACAGAAATTAATGACAATAAGCATACAACATTAAAACTGGGAAATCAAATTAAAAATAACTATAATGATGATTTTTTTCGGTTAAAAATAAAACTAATGTAAAGAATAAGCAGTAGTATTTCATACAGATTTAAAAGATATAAATGTATACAACAATAAGAAGTTATTTACACAATAAAAACCGGCGTATTTGTAAGATATTAAAACAGCTTTTGGTACACATACGAATCATGTCTTGGTTTGAAAAAGAAACAAATATTATTTAAAAAATATATGGTGAAGAAATACCGCCTTCTGTCATTGTAAAGAGAACAATATAGGATAACATGTAATTCATCTTCTATAACATTAGTATTACAAAAAGGACAAGTCCTGGCTTGCTCTGGTAAACCTGCAAATCTCAAAGTTTCAATCCGTATGGAAACAATGCCAATACGAAATTTACAAAAGGCAGATCTATGACTTGGTGGTAACACAAGTTTACAATATTTTTCTAATTCATACTCAGTTTTAAATTTACTATACACTCACTATAGATCACATCTTTGGAGATGAAAAATAAAAAAATACTGTAAAATAGTGGCGTTTTGTATTAATGACTGTAAGAATTAAATACAACAAACGTCATGAAACTGACTGTACATCAATATTAAAGGGACCTTATGCCCATACAAGGGCACATAGTGAGTGAACAGATGAAAGTCAAAATAATCTTACATTTTGCCATAATTCCTTTCTATAAACTTTAAATGAATTAAATATAACGTTTTTGGTAAAACGAAATTTCTGTAAAAATCCATGAGAATTTACCAAAATGTTCAATTCATAAAAAGAGTTGGACAGTCTGTTTATATATTATATATTTTATCCTTAATATTTTCCAAAATGACCTGTTGGTCAATCACCATTACAACAATCAATTATTTGAAATATATAGTCAATTCATTTCAACTTGACAATGAAAAAAAATGAACATTATGTCACTTTAAACATTTATAGCATTAAGTGTATCAATGTCTTCTGTGAAATACTGGACCTTTTTATGGTGTTGACTTGGAAATAAGCTGATAAGGCTTTCGAAATTTAAATCTGACAAGACCATGACATTGTCTATAGAAGACAAGATTGATTTCAAACATGTTCACTATTGTTTTATCAGGTATCACTGGGAAAATTCAGATTGATTCCAATGGAACTAGACGGACAAACTTCACATTACATAATATATTTTATGACACATATACAACCGTTGCCGAGGGCAATACAAGGTATGTTAAAACGTGTGATATTACATTTAATTAATGAAAGGTGTTTTGAATACACATTTTCAATTTGTTTGCGAATGTTTATAAAATCAAAATTTTACCATTTTTGTATTTAAATGTCGAATTCTTTAGCCGGTGCTAGGGAGCGTGGACAGTAACTTGCAATTTCCAGCATCGTCCATGAACAGGCTAAAAAACCGAGCCTGCAACATTTACAGTTTTGTCATTTTGATGTTTATTAAAGGGATTCCGTTTTTCTTTATTTTTATAATTAATGTACCATAAATATAAAATATTGAAAATAGTATGCAAAAAAATATTTTAATATTGTTTACATCTGACAAGATCAAAATAATCATTGTATTTTTCTATATAATATCATTTGCTTTATTTGCTTTATTTTATATAAACCAGACTGAATACACGTAATCATTTCCCAGAGATGTGTATATATCTTAATTATTTTTGACAAATAATAAATAAATAATCCTGGAATAATATCTATGTCTTTTCCCTCAGACCTCTTTAGTTGAAATCTATCCAACGTATTTCCAGACGGCTATTCGTCACAAAATGCCTGCCGTATGCAAATATGTTTGAATGACAACAACAATTTTCATGATAAATATAAAGTTGTATATTTTTTCAGTCTGGGGCTGTAATTTGAATTTTGCGTGAGTGACGCAAATAGATGTATCTTTATTAGCATTTTACAGAAGTTCTTTAAGTTAATTGGTGTCTGAAAAGTATTACACTTTAATCAATCACTTGATGTTTATATTCATAAAAGTTAAGGCCTTTGAATAGTCTTTATGATGGAATTTTCTTGTTTTGTTCCTATGAGGCCTGTATTCTAAAAAATACTTTCTTTTATCATGGTACTGTATTGGACATAGAAATGTTAATAGACAATAAAAGAATGAGATAATTGAATTGAAAATCAATCATCCTTTGCTTCGGATAATACATTTAATTCTTGATATAACGGTTGAATAAATTACACACGGGGCTTCCGTGGCCGATTAGTTAAGGTCGTTGACTTCAAACCTCTTGCCTCTCATCGCTGTGGATTCAGATCCCGACAGGGACTTTGGATTTTTTCATGTGAGGAAGCTATCCAGCTAGCTTACGGAACGTCGGTGGTTCTACTCTGGTGCCCGTTTGTGCCTGAAATAAGGCACGGAAGGGCATCTGAGGTCTTCCTCCACCAGTTAGGCTGGAACGTCGTCACATCACCTAGAATGTGTCGATGTGACGTAAAACCCAATCAAAGGGACTCCACTGAAGTTTAAAAGCCTAAAAACATAACATTTGAATTTTTTACATAAATGAGCTGCTGCACTTTTAACAGAATATATATATATATGTAGTTAAGAAATATACTTTGAAATAAATAGTAAATTGTATTTTTATGCTGTTCTTAGCCAAATTTGAGTGAAAAGCGTTTAAACGCTTTTCATTTTGGGTCATTTTTTACAATTTGAATAATAATTCTGGAAAAACGAAATGCGCGAATGATCTGCAATTTTGCACAAAGATTAGAGATCTAAACCTACATCAAATGGAACATTTATCTGCACAAAATATTTTCAGTCCCATCATGTCAAGACACCTCTGTGGAGTCCCTTTAAACTAACAAACAAACAAATGACACACACAAATAATGTTAATGGCATTGTTACCGTAGTTGTCGTTTCATAAAAACAAAACTAACCTATGAAGTTTTTTTCTGGGTTATGAATTATATAATTCAAATGCTGAATATTATTTTATAGCCTTGGTGGCCTGGAGTTTTTACAAGACGCCATTATACATTGGCCAGGCGGCGCAACAACTGCTCCTCTTGGCAGACCTGCGTGTGGATGGAACAGTGAATATTGTAACAAGACAGACGATTGTAAGATGATATTACGCTTCAATCTTGTAATATAAAAAAAATACATTTATATTTAAATGAATGTATTTGCCATATATGAATGCGGCCAAAGGCATTTCTCAAGCCGACTGCCAATAAATTATAGAACTAACAGTCATTTTAGAGGAAATTCTGGATAAAAATAACTAGGCATTGCGTCATTAAAATGAATTATGTCATATAATATAGTTCTAATAAGGAAAATTTACTATCCCTTATGATGTTACATTAAATAATTTATACCACGCATTCGTTTATGTTTATCATAATTACAGAAAAAACATGTTTGTAAAACAATAGTAAAACCACATACAAAAGGTTTAAGGCTATGAATTGCAAAATATACTATAAAATAATCATTATTTACTATAAAAATTCTTTAGCTGTATAGTTACTTTTTCATATTTTTGATATCATTTTTGAGCACTCCATATGACTAGAAAAAGAAATCAGAAGAAAGTTTCGTAACAAAATTAAAGTACTACTTTAGCAGTTTTAGCTGGTAAAGTGATGAGGCACGAGCCATCTGTTAGATACAAAAAAATGGCAAGCAGCCAAAAGCCATATTCCTTTAAAATTATTGCTGAGCATACCATTTATTACAAGAATGTCATATTTATCTTATATTTGTCTGTGCTCGATTATAATTAACTTAGGATCATATTTTTTGCAGACATTCCAGTGTTTGCTGCCGTTGGCATGCTTGTTTTGATCATTGTTTCAATAACCTCTGGTATGGCAATATTTCTGTATAGGTAAGTATTTACTGCGACTAGTTATATGGTTTAAAAAGACATGGGTATCTTTCATATAATCAAACGTTATTTGAAAGTAACAAGGGAATATTTAAAGCAGCACGCCCCAAGATTTATGATATTTTTTGGACAATGTTTACCAATTTATTTAGGGGAAACCTTTGTTATGTGTATAAACATTATGATTTCAGACAGCAAAACAAAACATAACATATAATTAACCGAAAAGGGCAATACAAGCCTATACTCCATCAGTAGATGTATGCTATCTTTTGTTTAAATCCAGTCATATATTCTAGTAAATATGTTAATTGCATCGTTAATTATGATTTTCATACATTTGTTAAACGACATATAAAAATATATTAATTTGAAGATCTTGTTTTAAGGAATGCGTTCACCCATTTTACGACGGGCAGCATTAAGTTAAACCAAGTTCCAGTTAAAAATTTGCTATTTCAATATTTCGACACAGAATAATTCAAAGTCTTTGCCGTATACGTAGACGAATCTTTTGTTTTTTATTTGTCTCTGCTGATATATATACAAATGTATATACTTAAACCACGATTTTAAGTACATGTAGATATATCACCACATAAAGTGTTTCTTTAGATATTGTAATCATGTTGAAATCAGTGTATTAGAATGGTTTATACTTAAACAGTTAGACAGAGAAAGTTCTATTAGAACATAAGAAAAGAACGGTTATTCTCGTATGTAATGCAAAATGAAGATAAATTTTGATAAAATGTAACTGTTCAAGTAATAGAATTTATAATAGAAAACAAAAACAATGTAATTAGAAAAGAGCAAGTCTAGACTACATTTCCGATGCATCATGACTAGAGCATTCTGAGTTGGTGTATTTTGATATACGTTATTCTTAAAGGCACATTATGTTATTTGCTATTCTTTTTAATTCTTTAATAATGTCAAACATGTGTTTAATAGTGTTATTAGAGTGTTAGAGTAATTATATTCAGGACACGTTCGATGTTTAACAACTGCAGAAAGTAGCACTGAACGTGCTATGATGTGTCGTAAAGTAAGCTAATGGTAAACAAAGTAGTATTTTGACTTCCATACAGAATACTAATTCACTAAAATCATACCGATTACTAACAGAGCTAAAGTTACAAAGATAGTCATTGTATATGGCAGATGACAAGTCCTTTGAAAACACTTACAAGATGCAAATAAAAATGTTTTGAGAAATAAAATTTGTATCATTTCTGAGGCATAATTGGGCTTTAAAATACAACATGGACTGTTCATTATTCAAAAATTGATCGGGATGTAAATGTTACCAAAAATAAAATCAATTGTAACCGATGTACAAAGTTGTGACGTAAAATTCAAACATATATAAAGTACAAGGCAACAAATTAGTTACATACCTTTTACGTGGGAGAGTACATTTTTAAAAACATCAAAAGCCAAGTACATTTGTTCCTTGCATAATTTACGATGTCTGTTACGTCAGTATATTGCCCGCGTTTTAGGACTTGTACGGAAATTCTTTGATTGTACGGAAATTCTTTGATCAAATGAATGTAAATTTTCATTAAGTATATAATGACAGGAAAAGAAAGTACCAAGAAAGGATGGAAAGCATGTCTTGGAAGATCTCATATGATGACATTGACTTTAAAATTGGTTCGTATGGAGGAAGCATTTACGGAAGTAGGGTAAGGGCACTCTTGTAACCTTTCATGTCTGTTGTCAAACAAATATCGTGATTTTTGTTAATAGTTTTGCTTTTTATATCTTTATTTTAAGTGAAATTTGTTAGCTCTTTGATCTTATTAGTATCGTACTTAGTTACTTATCTGTGTAGTAATCATATATTTAAGCAGGTTGACAATTTACAGACTTTTTTGATCATAGCGGGAAAAACCACTAATGCTCCCAATCAATGTTTAAGCAAATCCAATGTTTCTATGATACATTTGCTATATATAGTGCTTTTTAATTAGTATATGTGATGCTTAAAACAGATGTCTGCATTTTTGCTAATATAATTATGTTTGTTTTGACGGTTACTTTCAAAAGAACAATTAAATGTATGATTAAGGTGATGCTTTATCATACTTTATACTATTAACTATATTTATCACACACCCGTGCCGATTTTGCGACTCCGTAAATATGATATTGCACGGCCGTGCATATATTTTGACGTGACGTCATTATCGTTATACAAACGTAGTGTAAAGACGCGCTAAATGTTAGCGTTATACTATAGGCGCGTCAATGAAAAAAATGACTCTTATTTCACTTTAAACGGTCTTTATTTTGGGTATGTGATAAATAGAATATTAAATTTGTGTAAGTTCATTACTGAATTTATTGAACTCGTTGAATAAAATAATATTATGCTCGCCAGAGGCTCGCATAATATAATTTTATTCAACTCGTGCAATAAATTCATTATTGAACTTACATTCATTCAATATCCTCTATGAACAACATTGTTAAAATTGTTAAAAATTTTCTAACTCTCAAAACCCCTCCGTTTTCCTACCATTTTTATTTAAGCTGAATTAAAAAAATATCAAGTTTGTGTTTTCAATATATCCAGCTTTCTATGATATTGCTCTTCGTAGCACAATTGTTGCATGATAAAATACGGTTGTATGCCATTTTTATCGGGATGTAAGTCAAACCAACCTGCAATGGTCATATGACGTCTTTCAGCGTTACTAGTGGAGGGCGACTGCATGTCATTTGCATTATTTCATTATTTTAGCTACATGAGTATTACCACTGACTTTCTATGAGCTCGCTGGGTATGAAAGAACCTAAAGTTCTTGGCCGGGGAAAAACTCTTACATACATCCATTGCTTGCCATCGTGACAGCCATTACAAAACTGATAAATCTTTTGTATATATAAAGTCAACTGTTACTCTTTAATTTTTATGTTGTATCTACATTGTATTATGTGGCATGCAAATTTGGCTTTGAATTATAAAAAAATGATATATGTTTTAATTATTTTATATTTTTTATTTATTTCTCAGTTACATATAGGTGGAGCAGTATCAAAATTTCGGGAAAGCTCGCCTCCATGTATTACTCAGCGATTTGAATATCCTGTAAGAATTATTAATAACACTAGCACGAGAAATGAAATAAAAGATTCACATGTTTAGTTTGTTAAATAATTTATCAAAATGTATGTCATATATTTGACAATTTGTTCAACAAACACACTCTCTTTACTTTTTTGTTTTGCAGTTTCATTTATAATCTAGTATTATTTTAACGAAATGCAAATGTCCAAAATTTCAAACAAGCAAATCATTTGTTTTCTTTATTTTGTTGATTTTTTTTTAAATGTATTGTACAAGTATGTAATTGTCATTGTTTTAGTTAAATATATTAGTTTAATATTGTTTGTCATGTGCTGATGAAGTCATGTTACATCTCTGAATAAACTCTCAATGGAACTCCAGTAAAGCACGGAAAGTAAATACCTGCAAAGGATAATTAAGGTGTACATTCAGAATTATACTGAATATCGGCAGTTAGTGCAATTCTTAGCCTGATTTGATTGAAAAGCGTTGCAATGCTTAGAAATTGCTTGGAAAAACAGGATGTTTGAATGTTCTGAAAAGTTGCACGCAATTTTATGGTTCAGACCTACATCAAATGTGTTAAAACACTCATAAAAAATATATCCAGTCCCATCATGTCGAAAAACTTCAGTGGAGTCCCTATAACTTGTTAAAGCTATGTATGGACTTGCCCAGTTGACAATTTGTGACTGTACTTCATCATGTTCTGGGAGAAATAAGGATAAAAATTTAGACTGGCCTGGCCTGGCTTTATATATCGATGGCAAAGGCTAAACACTTTTGGTTCAAGCAAGAAAATGGTTAAAATGTGATCATTGAGATATCAAAATGTAATTTTTATAATAATTGTTATAATAATAAATACTTTAAAATTAATTCGAAACATTTTATCAGTAAAGATTAAAACGAAACCTTATCATGTCTTAGTTATTTAATTTATACGATGGAAATCTTGTTTAAATCAGTGTTGTCAGCTGTATGTAGTTTTGTGTTGTATTTGCTGTAAATAAACAGTTTGTGGTACATCTTACAAACAATTTATTTATAGAATATTATTAAAACTTATAGAATCATTAATTTTTTAAGAGAATGCAAGTATTGGTAACATGGCTCTTTAGCACCGCTTGTGAACTGTATCGTAACAAGTCCAGATAGTTGTTACATTATACATAACGGCGAAAAGAACTGGGTGTGAGGAGTTAAGATTATGACTTATAATGTTTAAGATGCCACATTTCAGTCATCTATAGAACTCGGAACGAATGTTTTACTTATGGTAACATATAGAAGATTTGTTAAATAAAATAGTTGGAAACGTTCAAGAAAGCCTTACACGACTAATCTGAAGATGGTTCAAGCTCGTTTTAATTTGCCTTGTGCATGGAGTCAGGACGCAAGCTACTATCCAAGCCCCATAGCACATTCTTATACAGAACTCAACATTAATTTTCTGAGGAAACATATCGCTTGAACTATCAAATAAGAAAAATATTTAATAATAGTACATACAACATTTATGTAAACTTTGCTTATAAATCATTAATTAATTTTCGTTATCTTTTAGGGAACCTTCTTGTCGAAGAGATCCAGATCTCAGGAAACAGTCAGTGGAAACCTTAGAAACTGCAGTGTAGATTCAAATATGTCAGGGGCTGCTCAATTATTTACCAAAATTGGCAGTTGTCGTGGCAAATTGCTCGCAATAAAATTTGTTAGCAAACCATACGTTGCTGTAACAAAAGCGCTCATTAAAGAAATAAACGAGGTAATAAAATATTTTAACTTATGCAAATGCCATGATGTATAATCATGAAGAAAATTTAGATAAGATTCAGCGAAATTTAAGTATAATTCTATATATACTTTTAAAACAAGGATAACAAAAGTACATCAGCACAGTCGTAATATTAGCAAATATGTGATATATATAAATTGCAATTAAACTAATAAGATATCGAGTCGATGTAAAATAAGATCTCATGTTTAATAAGAGGCACTATTAATATGTTTTATTTCTATCTCTTTTTTCAATTTCACTAAGATTGTATAACTATTTTAATCTTGACGACGTCAAAATGTTCATTCACGTGATTGTATTTTAAAATGTATTACTAATACATTTCAAAATTGTATTTTAACACATATTTAAAAAATTTGACCAAAGTAATATATCATTCTATAAGGTTGTGATTACATCAGTCAAAATGAAATTATGTTGTATTTTCAGATACGTAATTTAAGTCATAGGAATATAAACCCGATGATCGGGGCGTGTATTGACCCAATGAAAGCATGTGTGTTATCAATATATTGTCCTAAAGGGAGTCTACAAGATGTTCTAGAAAATGATAATATAAAGCTGGACCAAATATTCAAAGTATCATTCGCATCTGATATTGCAACGGTAAGTATAAGATAAACTGCTTGCTCAAATATTGCAACGGTAAGAATTAGATAAAATACTTGACTTTATATGTCTTTTTAAATTTCTAGTTTGGACATGTCAGCCTCTTATTACGACATACAATGTCCTGATATGGATTTCCCCCTCGTTATTAGCAGTTAGAAATCCTAATGAAATCTCCTACTACACATTTTTAAATTCTTATTGAGAGTAACGAAGTTCAAATAAGGGTTTCTAATTTCTCCTTTTCTCCTTATTAGTAGTCACAAAGTACTAATTAGGCCATGGTAACTTCTAAATAAGACGGCAGAGAAAGTGAAAGCGATAGAAATATCATATTCAGATGCTCGTTCATTGGTAACTGATTTCTAGGGTTTCATATTGTGACAACAGGGAACGTATTTTATGTTTAACTATGATACAAAAGGGAAGAAACATCAAAACACTCGACAGTCTGAAACCTAAAAAAAGGTTTATCGAGGATTCGAACATTCAAAGCGATTGCAATGCCATCCTACTTACAACTAGGCTATTGGGTAATGGTAATTAAAAAAATATTATGTTCTTTGATTTCAGGGTATGAATTATTTACATTCAACTAGTGTTAGAAGTCACGGTCATCTTAAATCATCTAATGTATTTATTGACCAACACTGGACATGTAAGGTTGGTGATATAAGTATGCCTGTGTTTAGAGAGGGAGAAAGAACCACTTCAGATTCTGCCATCAGACAATGTTATCGTAAGTACAATAGTTATAACAATAAAAGTTTCTGTGTAAGTACTTTAAATTAATACGAGTATGTCATGTACATTTGTCTAACATGTATTTATTTATATTAATAATAATAATATTATTATTATTATTATTAATAATAATTATTATTATAATGATAATAATAATAATTTATTTATTAATTTATATCAATTTAAGTATTCATGTATTTTATTTTTATTTATTTATCCTATTTCGAGTGAATCACTAGTTATTATTGCCAAGGGAGATAACTAGATTCAATTTGATATTTACCTCCCTTTAATTATAAAAAAAAGTCATGATTCATATTTCCTGGGACCAAATGTGTTGTTAGATATTTTTTATTTCTTTTTAAATGTTTTTGTTTTGAGTCAAATTTCAAGAACAAGTTCAGTGAATCAAAAATCAAATCAATGTCAAATTAGTGACACTATTTTGACATTCGTTTGTCATAATATGACATGAGAAATCGAATTTACGTTACCTCAGATTTATTAATATATCTCTCTCCATTTTCCCCGATTTTATTTTGACTCAAAACACGATTATATCCGGTGTACGGTCATATACCGTGATCAGGAAATCTTTAAAAAGTTATGAAAGAAAATACTACTTAGACTAGCTTTTTTGGTATAACCAACGTTTCTTCATTATTACAAAATGCCGAGTAGTAAAGATACTGTGGTATAGCAAAACGGTTATAAATGAATCCGACATGCTTTTAGCTCTTTATAAGGTTTGGAAGTATATGTTGCCGAAGTTCTCTTACAAAATGAAGAAGTTTCATGAGGTAAAATATGTTCAGACTAAACGTTAAGATAAGTTCCGAATTATTGGTAGACTATATCTGTATCAAATACAGTAGGCTTTAACTCAATACAGGAATGGAGCAGTACCTCTAGACGCTTGCAAAAATCAAGATCATAAAAAAGACAAATATCGTTTCTTTTCGCCGATTTTTACATTTTTCTTCATTCATTATCATACATAAATCGCTGTGAAAAGATGAATTAGACCTTTTAAAGTTCATTCCGTTAGGAAAAAAGGGCAAGGTTTTTAACATTTTATCATTCAAGCGCCTATTCCGGAATATACCGGAATACGCTGTATTTAGTGTGGTCCTCCAATCCTTTTTTTCAGACTCACTCAATTAACAACATGCTGTATCATTGTTTGAAATAAACTGTTTAAATTTAAACTAATCATTGGGTTGCATGTGTTATTTTAGAGCAATTATGGACAGCACCAGAAATATTACGAGATTCAGGTAGCATTGCACGAGGGACACAGAAAGGGGATGTTTATTCATATGGTATAATTCTACAGGAGATAATGTTACGGACGGGCCCTTATAGCTATAACAACATGGACCCTGAAGGTACGCACCTGTTGCTTCTGAAATGCCGAAATTAGCTAACATAGGGTTATAAAAACTTTCTTTTTGTAGCTTTTGTACACCTATATTGGCAGTAAACATAATGTTTAGAAAAAATGACCATGTTACACAAACGATTGAACTTTTTTTACATTTTGAACAACAACTTCTCAACAGTGATCTGCACTTATTACTTCCGTATAAATATGCAAGACTAAAACAGCGTTTATGTAAAGATTTGCATATTATTCAGCCTTTCCGTACACATATTTAAGACTAAAAAGACATTTATTTTAAGGTTTGCATATTACTCAGACGTTCCGTAAAAATGCAAGACTAAAAAGGCATTATTTAAAGATTTACACATTATTCAGATATTTCGCACAGATATTTGAATATTATTCACACAACTAAATATCGCACAATATTGATATAGTATCTATGCTAATAATGTGATCATTGAATCATACACATTTCATGCTTCTCATTTATTTAAACAGCATGTTCCAAGTTAATTCTGCTTCTTGCTATTTTTTCCGCTTTGTTAGTTTTTGTCTTATTCAGTCCTCGCATATCGTACAAAATTTTATCAAACATGTAATCTTAATCAAAATGATCAGGTAAACTTGTCAGTAGTATAACAAAACATCTATCAGAGTGTGTAAGTGGCATCGTATATCATTAACCATTACCACGCAAAATGGACTTACTTTATTTCTATCTGGACAAAACCATTTATCATTTTTAGGGAGAATTTCAAAATATGTACGGATCGAATAGCAAACAGTGCAAACACTGATCAGACAGGATAAGATGTGCTTGCTGATCTCGGTCTTAGCTGGTCGCAAGTGTAGAATAGTGTTGCCCTTAGCAGTCTTAGGGGTTCATAGACAAATTAAAACATATTGTGATTTTTACCCGTAAAATGCTCACATGGTAATTCAACAATGTTATTCAAATTTCTTGCAGATATTATAACAAGAATTATTGAAAAAGAAACGCCACCTTTTAGACCTATTGTCCCTCCAGTAGAGAGTATCTCAGAAATTGATGACGTCATGAGAATGGCCTGGGAGGAAGTGCCTTTATTTCGCCCGACGTTTTCAACTATTTTAGAATCGCTCAAAAAATTCAACAACGGAAGGTATACATTTTAGTTTTACATAATTGTTTTTTTTTTCTTTTTAAAACTAGATCATTACATTGGAATAATATGCTTATTGTCAAATTAATATTAAAAAGAAATTGCTTTGGTGACACTTTTATATTATTGCTCAGATTGGAGCAAATATTTGTATCTATTGTAAAAGAAGGAAACGAATGGTTATTGACAAAACAAACGGCTTAAGCTAAAGAAAATCCCGCATATTGAATATAAAACAAGTTCAGGCATTTTGTATTCAATTACTAAATAGTTATATCTATGTCATGTGACATCTTGGTTACAAGCTTTGCTGAAAATAATGATTACTGTACTAAATGTTTACTTGTTAGGACAACAAATTTAGTTGATCAAATGGTACATATGATGGAGAAGTATGCAGACCATCTTGAAGAACTGGTTCATGAACGGACGGAACTACTCGAACTTGAACAAAAACGGACAGAAGATCTGTTATGCAGAATGTTACCTCGGTATTGTTACCTTCTGAATTCATTTACTTTGTTTGATTGATAATTTTATTATTATTATTATTATTATTATTATTATTATTATTATTATTATTATTATTATTATTATTATTATTACTATTATTATTATTATTAAATAAGTCAAAGGTATTTATCATGGTACTGTATAGTAGAAAAACAACCCCAGTCATTCAAAATGAAGATTAGAATCTGCGGTTATACAAATTGTTTGATACACCTCCTTAACTTTAATTTTAGCATTCTTGACCTTTACCCTTCTGCAACCAGAAATGATTCATTTACCGTTTAGCCAGACCAGGTTAACCAAATTAATTGATAATGGATCGTTCTGAAAAAGAACACTGGACCGGTCCGTTTAAGAATTTAGTCGTGTTGTGAGGTAACTGGCCAATCAATTCGTACATGGAATTTACGAGCAGAACTATCTTGTCTGTCTTCTTTTTTATTAGTTTGTGTTTGTATGCTTAAAGTATATACCTTTTAAAGCATGATTTATTCATTCTCAGATCCATAGCAAATGATTTAAAAGTGGGAAAAATAATAGCACCAGAATGGTACGAAAGCGTGACAGTGTTTTTCTCTGATATTGTCGGCTTCACGGCTCTTTCATCACAAAGTACACCCATGGAGGTAAAAACGCAGACGACAAATAGCAGACGACATTTGTCTGCTGTTTCACAAAGTTTCAGTTTATTCTATGTCGTCATTTTCATATCATTTTCTCAAATTATGGCATTCTGCAATTTACGCAAAGTTAGAAGAAAACTGTTTGTTACAATATTTCTAATTTTCTTATTATTGAAATAGTTGCTATAGTTACATGATGACTTTGCAGTTTAATAAAAGATACTTCATATCACGTGATTTAATTGCATTCGAGATGTAATGACGTGTATTCGATATGAACATTTTTATTGCAATTTTATGAGAGAAAAATCCATATAAGATCAAACGAAATTTAACATTTACAATCTTAAATAAATATTGCCATTTGGAAACGATGAACATTTAATAAACATTTTATCAGGTGATGTTAATTACCTACACCTGACATAATTTATACATTTTATGCTTTTTATATTCTATTTCAGGTTGTCAATTTTCTAAATGATTTGTATACTTGTTTTGATACGGTCATAGAAGACTTTGATGTTTACAAGGTAGCTATATCTTTTAACGAGTTATACAGAAACATTAATTTTCTTATTGGTTGTTAAGAAAGCAAGAATTTTTAGAATTGCATCCTTGCAATAATATATCCATAGATTCTCTTACACTGGTACTAGTGTCCGTCTCACTTTTAATATCAGTTTGTATCTGTTTTTGTTTGGTTGGGTTTTAGGTCACACCAACTAGGTATATGTCATATGGTGACTTTCCAACATTACAGGTGAAAGAAGACCTCGAGTTTCCTTTGTGCATTATTTCAGGCACAAACGGGTACTTAAGTAAAACCACCGACATTCCATTAGCTAGTTAGCTTTCTCTTATGAAGAATCCGATGACGCTTACGCGACTCGAACCTATAGGCAAATGGTTTGAAGTCAACGACCTTAACCACTCGGCTATGGACGTCCCTTAATATGTTAAAACTCAAACTTTAATATCCTTCTAAATAAATAAATAAATGACACATTTAGATACGTTACAAAATATTGCAAAAAAACTAAGCAATAGATTGTCGCGGAAACCGGTTAGTTTGAAAACATCTTTGTAAAATTATATAATAACACATCTGATATCATTCTAGTCAACCATGATTATTTGCATAGAATAAGTACTTCTAAAAGAAATGAGATTAAGACTATTCCGTCGCCTTTGAACAAAATGGTGTCATAACTATATCAAAGCACTTTTATTTCTGAAACTATAATTATTTGAATTTATCTTTATTTTGATCAGGTAGAGACTATTGGTGATGCATACATGGTAGTTAGTGGTCTTCCAGAAAGAAACGGTAATAAGCATGCAGGTGAAATAGCAACAATGGCTTTAGATTTACTAAGCTCCGTAACAACGTTCAAGATCCGACATCGACCGAATCAGCAACTTCAAATGCGCATTGGCATGCATAGTGGTAAATTGTCCCTGACACGGCTTTGTTTTGAGTTTCATATTGTAATAAACAAATTATGTTTGTAGAGTATGCATTATGAATCATAATAACTGTTTCATGAAGAAATATAGAAAATAGTTTGAAAGTGCATACACATTAAACGTGCTTTTATAATTAAATTAATTAAAACAGATTGTATTAAAGAGTAAACTACTGATTATTTTATATATTTTAGCTTATACAAATATATTTGAAAGTCAATGGACTTCGGCAACAATTTGTATTTTACATAATGCTTATACATGTACAGGCAAATTGTTTCTTTTAAAACCAAAAAAAAAAAAAAAAGAAATGGACGAAGTTCTTAAAACTTGAGACATGAGTTGAAGAAATCCGGCCTTTACTCTGTCCGACAAAGCATGCTTAATTGCAATCAAAGTTTCCACCCTAATATTCTGGTCAAATATTTCATAACGATGTTTTGTTTTAATTCTGAATTAAAACAAAACATCGTTTTGAATTATTTGATCAGAATAATAAGGTGAACACTTTGATTGCAATAAAGCATGTTTTGTTGAATAGAGTAATTTTTAAATGTGTTACTTTATATACTGATATTTTATATTCAGGGCCAGTTTGTGCAGGGGTTGTTGGCTTAAAAATGCCACGGTATTGTCTTTTTGGTGACACGGTAAATTATGCTTCAAGAATGGAATCTACCGGGCTAGGTATGGTATTGCCAAATGTTTTTTGGCGTATGAAACATCTCATAAATTATTTGATATATAATGTTTACAAATATTAAGCAATTGATAGATAACATATGGTTAAGGACCCTGTGGTAATTTTAAATGTTTTATATAAAAAGAAAGTAGAAAATAGCAACAAAAATGCATTGCTTTTATTTCTAGAAGTGTTCACTGTTTTGTATATTAAAATGCTATTGTACTTTATTCAAATGCTATTCGTTAATTTATACATTTATAAATTTATGCATAACTGTAAACGCTAAATAATCTGTTAATACTAAATAATCATGTGAATTAGAAATCGAGAATAAATATGAGGTTTTCAAAGTCTAATTTGATTTGTTTTTTAAGCATTACGAATCCATGTAAGTCCTGAGTGCAAGGCCTTATTGGAAGAGCTGGACGGGTTCCATTTTGAATGCCGCGGATTAGTTGATATGAAGGTTAGATATTTATTCAATTGTCGTCTGGTCATACAACACGAAAACAACAAAACTTATCAAATGAAAACACTTAAAAAAGCTATTTAAATATGTAAGTGATTGATATGGATTCGATTATTTTCATTGATTAATAAAATGTTTTCAAATGTGTAAAGGAGAGATATGCAACCAACTTATACTTAAATGACAATTTTTTATGGTGGCTGATTTGGGCGAAAACACGAATGTTACAAATCAGCAACCATACATATTACAAGAATTGTTTAAATGAATATCTTTTATTGAATGCATGATATTAGTCTGTCGTAAAAACAACATTTTGTTTCTGTGTTCTTCAGGGAAAAGGACAGATCAAAACATATTTTCTGTTGGGAAGACAGGGATTTAGCAAACCTCTTCCAGACTTGAAACTCGCTATAAATGTTGAAAAACACCAGTTTAAACTTATAGATCCTAAACCACGTACAGAAATATCTATCCCGAATGGAATAAAGAAATTTTGAAACTGTGAATAAAATTTCGCTATGGTCCGAGACACTATAGTGGTGTGCGTCGACTTTTACCACATTCAGATATAAAAAACCAATTCCAAATAGACACCCAGAACGGTTGTCACGGGTGAGGTGCATGGAATAAACAGATACATTTCAAAACCATCATTTGTCTACAAATATTAAATGTAACAAGAGCATATTTGTAGCAGGAAAAACAAACTCTTATATCGGCTTATATGACCGTGTAAAGGTTGTTTTGTATGCGTAACAATGTCTGCCGACTAGTGGTTCCTTTTTGTTTTTTTTATGAAAAAATGAGTAATTTGTAACCGTTACATTCAAACTTTTTGAATGTGTATTTATAGATAACAATATTCGAATCACTTTTATCTTTTGGGTCTGAGAGTTGCCAGTAAAAAAGTAAGGATTTACAATACAAAAATTTCTTACTGCTTCTAAATTAATCGTTCTTCATTTAACATATAATCTCTTAAAGCAGATACAACATCAGTGGAAAATTTTCCAAAAATAGAAACAAGAATAACAATCAATTTATCTATCATAATTGAGCCGCGTCACGACAAAACCATCATAGTGCGTTTGCGACCAGCATGGATCCAGACCAGCGTGCGCATCCGCGCAGTCTGATCAGGCTCCATGCTGTTCGCTTACAACCCCTATAGCAAGTAGAGAAACTGATAGCGAACAGCATGGATCCTGATCAGACTGCGCGGACGCGCAGGCTGGTCTGGATCCATGCTGGTCGCAAACGCACTATGATGGTTTTTGTCGTGTCGCGGCTCATATATTTATTGAAAGAATCAGCCAGTGTGATTCTTGAATTTCCAGCCTGTTCTTTTGGATAGCATATGGTACTTATTCCTTAAATGTTAAAGTGACATAATTATTTCTACATAACTATATTAAGTATTGGAAGGAATGCTTTGGAAAGTCACATTTCAGCGGAGTTTATTTATGCAGTTGAAATATGCTATGAAAAATCACAATAATTATTTTTAGCATCATTATCAATGACTTACATGAACACATCTGCGGATGTTTCAAAATTCAAAATTGTACCAGTTCATGTTAAATGTTGAATTCTGCTTAAGCCGGTGCTAGGGGGCATGGACAGTAGTTTGCACTTGACAGTACCGTCCATGAACAGGCTCAATCAAACTGAGCCTGTAACATTTTCAATTTTGCCGTGTTGGGCTTTCTTTAGGGATTCTTATTTTCTTTATTTAAATGTGGATTAAACTGCAGTGGGTACATTTTCAATTAGTTTTTCAAATATAAATAAAAACAGTAGAACTGTATTGATAAAATAGTGCCTGAAAACAAGTGTTGATTAGGTTCAAGGTGATTAAGTATGAATGATGAATAATAATATTCTGTTCAAGAACAATTTGAGCCGCGTCACGACAAAACCAACATAATTGGTTTGCGAGCAGCATGGATCCAGACCAGCCTGCGCATCCGCGCAGTCTGATCAGGATCTATGCTGTTCGCTTACCAACCCTTTTACAAGTACAGAAACTAATAGCGAACAGCATGGATCCTGATCAGACTGCGCGCAGTCTGATCAGGATCCATGCTGTTCGCTTACCAACCCTATTACAAGTACAGAAACTAATAGCGAACAGCATGGATCCTGATCAGACTGCGCGGATGCGCAGGCTGGTCTGGATCCATGCTGGTCGCAAACGCACTATGTTGGTTTTGTCGTGACGCGGCTCATTTATTATCTGCTATATGAATACATGTAACATCTGCGTGGCTTGTTGTTATGTCTGATACATAGTTTATAGTATTTAAGACCTTCCATTATAGACCAATTCACTTTAAAATATAGTCTAGAAATGTGAGTAGTATCAAAAATAGCTGTATTCTCCCTTTAATGTGAAAATTATATGTAAAGTTAAAAATGAAATACAAAATACGGGTAAAATAAATATGATTTTAAAATGTGTGTTTATGTTTATGTCAGAAACAGGTTGGTGATGTTATTATATTGTCTTTCAGTAACTCAGCAATATTTCATTTTATATTTTTAATGTTACCTGTTGTTGCTAAAATGACCTTTTTCCATTATCAAAATAAATTGTTTAGCTTTTCGATGCTGTGTTTGTGTTTAAGTTTATTTATCGTTAACGAGAATATTAAATGAACATATAAAATTTTTGCATATCATCACCGAAATTCTGATATGTTAGATTGTATAGCGAAGACCTAAGTTGCACCACAGTGCATTATTATCAGACACGAGCGGGCCTATGAATAGAACCACACGTCTTCGGTAAGCTTGCTGGATATCTTCCTCACATGAAAGAATCCAAAGATACTGGCGTGTTTCGAATCCACGGTGGTGGGGGAAGCAAATGGTTTGATATTTACTACCCAAACCACTTGGACATGGATTCACAGAAAACAATTTAACATTAACATGTGGACATTGCAAAATGTTTAAAAAATAAAATGAAGGGCTATAAAAGCAATGTTCCATTTATATACAGACTGATAAGCTTTTGGTGGATTTACTAACACTTTCAATGCTTTTCAGCTTTACTGATGGAAAAAGTCCACTCCCCACTCCCGTGCATTATTTAAGTTACAAGTAAGCGGGTAACTGAGTAGAACACTGATGTTTCCAAGCTAGTTGAATAGCTGTATCATATTCTTTATTGCTCGAGGAACTAATAAACATTTTACCTGAAGCTAAACTGAACTCATCTACAAACGGAACATGCAAGAGCCCAGGACAACATACACGTGCAGTCTTACATAGCCAGGACACAATAGTAAATATCTTCATTGGCTGTTCCAACTTTATAATAAGTATTCAATTACACTGTTTGACACGACTACGTGAAATCTATTGATCACTTAACGGAAACATCTTCTTAAAACAATTGTCAAGACGTGGTATGCTCGTGTTCAGAAGAGATCATAATGTAAATATAATAACTGTAAACAGGATATAAGGTTTTGCTACTTGAAAACATAATTATCATAACCATTTATCTGCTTAATTTGTTTAATGGACTTTCTCTGCTTTGAATTGAAAAAGTTCATACAATGTGTTATGTATTTCGATATAAAAACCAACAGTATATTCCCCGGTCAAAATAACGAAGGTGCTGGCTGATTTGACCCTACAAGATTGTGGCAAAGACTAACAGGATTGGGTATCGCTGCTTAAAATGAGTAACGATATTATCATGACATCGTAGTCGGGTCGTATCAGATAAAAAAATCTTTCTTTGTAAGTTGATATCAACTATACCATACTTCAGTTTCATATTTGTTGATAATGGTATACGACCGTAGTGACTATATCTTGACAAGAACAAACTTAACATATCAATATGAGTATCTATACATAATGCACCTGCCTTCGAATATGTCACAATATAATATAGGACAATTGGATCAAAAACCAACACAAATTTAAGTATCAAAACATGTTTCGCTTTATTCAGCTTCTTCAGTTGATACAATATTATAGAAAAAAATTAGCAATTGCAAGTCCCCGAAACTACAGTTAATCAGACAACAGAAGATTGTTTTCAATTTGTATCACGATACTGTATCATTAGGCCAATAATCACACACAGTTCATCGATATAAAAAATATTGGACAATCTCAAAAGGTAATTCACATCTGGTTTCAACAGGTGAATGGTTAAATATTAAATATTTACAGATTGTCTAACTATATACGTCTGATGTTTTTCACCTGTTCAGAAATATAAAATATTTTTCACTGGTTAAGTCAGCGACCCAAGGACGGCGATGAACAAGTGGCTATAATGTTGTCCTCTCTGTCAAGGGATTATAGGTTTGAGCCTAACGGAGGTCACAACCGTGTTTCCTTATATGACTATACTACCTCTTAGCTTTAAAGAGGCGGATTCGAAAGTTGTTAAAAAATAAAGCTACAAGTTTTACTCAAGAGCAAGCTTAAAATATAAAGTTTAAACTCATTTAATTTGGAAAATATTTTTCTTCACTTTCCTAAAACAATTATGTTTAAAACGAGGCAGGACATATAACTGAAACGATAATTGCCTTCAGCTTAAGGATAAATGAAAAAATCATTGTACTGTACTTACAACCTGATTTTTTGTCCTTTTTCATATCGTATGACATTAACTAACATGACCTCAAGTTTGTTTGTCAAGTGGCCCACTTCATTTGTCTTCCTGTGTCGCCTTTAACACCATAAGTGTGCTTGTTTCAAGTCATCTTATCATTGAACAACCATCTTCCGTATTTATGATACAGAAAATCTAATTACACCACGTAACACTAAAGTCATTTAGTGCCGAAACTATTGTTTCATATCAGATGAAAAAGGATATTGTGACCCAAGAAACAGTTTCAGTTGTGAGGTCTAAGAATGATATTTATTTGAAAGATGATTGAATAATAGCTTAGATAAAACTGAACCTTGCGACGATTAAAGCAATCCGTTATAAACGTATAGACATAGTTGAAAATCTTGATTTTATAATAGCATACAACTTTGTTTAACAAGATAATATATACTGTATGGTTTAAACTACTTTTAAGCTACAAAACGATTATGTATGTTTGGATTGAAGAATACTTTTTCGTTCTGCTGTTAAATAAGCATAATAGCAAGAACATACATTTACTAAAGAACGAACTTTATATATGTATATTTGCCAAAGTATAGAAAATGTTATTAGACAAGAAATATTCATTTTTCTTCCTACCACACATACACAATTAACATATTCACGATGTAGTGTTTTAAATTTTCAAGATTAAGAATTATCAGTTGAACGACGAATATATTAAACAACTTTCACCATGTTTAAATTCTAACAAAATAAACTTTCTATTTAAATCTTATTAAGTCTTAACAGGCAATCATTTTCAAAATAATTACCCTACAATATTTCCAAACAGTTGAAATATGTTATGCATGCACTCAAGGAATAATTCAGTTTTTTTTATGTTTAAACACAATGTTTTTAATCGTCCAAGAAAGGCATCTTACAAGAAAGACATGAACCAGCGACGCCACAGTAAAAAAAATTTGAAACTGTAATGCGCAACAAAGTCTTGAAGTTTTTACTGTTGAAGTTGAAAGGCCGCAACAAACATTTGAAGTTTGTTTGATGCCACAAAAAAGATTTGAAGTTGCGATGCAACAATAAACATTTGGAACTACAATGCAATCACAAATATTGGTGGCTCAACAAAGATTTGAAATTGCAATCCAAAAGCAAAGATTTTAAGCTGCAATGCCAACACAAAGACTTGTAGCTGCAATTAACAAAAAAATCTAAAAGCTGCGTTACCACCACAGAAAAGGCTTGAAATGGCGATGCCGCAACAAAGATTTGAAGCTGCAGTCCAGAACAAGTTCTTGAAGTTGTGATGCCACCACAACAAATTCTTGAAGCTGCGGTGCCACCACCAAAAAGGCTTGAGGAATGATGCTTCAACACAGACTTGAAGTGCGATGTCACAACAAAGACTTAAAGTTGTAATTCAGAACAACAAATACTTGAAGCTGCGGTGCCACGACAAAAAAGAAATGAAGTTGCGATGCAAAAAACAAAGGTGTGAAACTGTCATGTCACAAAAAAGACTTGAGCTGAGGTACTACAACAACGTCTTGAAGTTGCAATGCAACAAAAAGACTTGAACTTGCGATGCCACCACGACAGATACTTGAAGGTGCGATGTCACCACAACAAAGACTTAAAGCTTCAATGCCACCACGAAAAAAAAACTTGAAGCTACAATGCAACAACAAACACTTGAACCTAAGATGCTCCCACAACAAAGACTTTAAGTTTCGATGCCACAACAACAAAGCTTTGAGGTTGGGAAGCCACCACAACAAAGACTAGAGGTTTGGATGCCACAAAAAACGGTCCCGTGAACGTGATACAAAGTTCTCCTTTTTGAACTGATCTTACTAGCTACTGTGACACTTAACAGTATGCTGATTAAATGTAATGGAATGCAATCTACGATTGGTAGCAGCTTTTTACTTAAGAGCAGACGACAATGTGTCTGAATATTCCGTACTGAGATTGTTCAGTTTGTGGTGAAACATGTCTGTAGAGGTGACACTCAACGGAGCTGCAACAATAGAAAAAAAACAGGATACATGCGGGCGTCATTATATTGTTTATTTCGCGACGTTGCACTTACGAGACAATTGTCAAGTACTTGAACGCCGGTAGTAACTTGTTTCTATAACAAATGTGTTCAAATTAATTATTGTTAAGGATTTGATAATAACAGTTTCCCCCCGTTTTGCATAATTAAGGACATTGTCAATGTGAAGAACAGATGTAAATAGTTAAATTATTTTCTTTTGAGAAAGTCGGGTTTTATTGATGTTATATGATTTGTCAGAAAAATGGATTTATTTTTACGCTCAACGATTTTTACAATGCTTTGTCTTCTGCTTGGAATAAAGGAATATCACACTTACGAAGGTAGGTTATAAGCAATTAATTAAAAAGAAAGAGAAAAGATTTTTTTTTTACAAATTTTTACTTTAATGGACTAACGAAGAATTTTTCTTGCGAGGTTTTAATAAATTCGAAAGATTTTATAATGAACGCGCAACTAACTTTCCTTACGAAACTTGTTGCTACAATAACTTTTCATAAATGAATGTGCGGCGTATTTAGTAAAATATGAATGCAATGAAAAAAAACTTTCAAATGTCACTTTTAAAATTATATGCCATATCAAAAAATAGTTAAAACAAAAATTTATGAGTTAAAATATTTTCTAACTTATTTCATAAAGCACCCTGTAAGAACTTCGAAGTTATCATGTGTGGTGACGAAGACAATGAGTGGGATATATGTACACCAAAAACACCTGTTGTTAGCAGAATATTAACTGCCCAGCTTGATACAAGGTAATTTCTGTTTCCCCTAATACAATTTAATTATACTTCGCCAATTCTTGATTCTGACCGTTCTATTTGTGTCGATCTGTTTTTAACAATTTAATTATTAGTATTTTAGTTCATATGTAACGCATGGAACTTAAAATCTAAAAAAGTGAAAAAACAAGATGATTTAACTGAAGCACAGTTAATTGCAGTAGACATTAAACATATCAATGTTTTGGCAAAACGTTGACATTATACACGTCAGGGGTTGGTTTTCTGAGAATAAAAAGTAAAAAATGTCTTGTACATAAAATCACAAATAACATGTTTACAAACTATTATCTGATCATAAGTAAAATTATTTTTATTACTTAACCGGGTTTTTACACTGACTTATCATCAAAAATAACGTTTTTGTTATACTGAAAAATCTAAAATACATAAAAGGTACCGAGTGTTTAATATGTATCACAGTAAAAATTACATTGAAGGTCATTTATGCCCAATGCATTTAATTATATTGTATATATATTGTCCTGTTATACTCACGGGCTAAGTACCTGTCTTACCTTTTGCTTCCGTTGCGTTTTGGTAATAAGTAAAGTTATATTGACGCAGTATTTTGTATGGGAGTCAAAATACCCACTTTGTTAACATCTTGCTAACTCTATGTCAAGTAATTTCACATTCAGTGCTATTTTTTTTAATACTCAATTTACATGCTCTTAAATAGATATAAAAATACTAAAAACTCATTTTCGCCATTTTTAAAGAAGAAAGCAATTATTTGTTCCTAAGGCATAAAGTACCATTAAAGGTGTGCGTTGTATTTTTACAGATATAGAAACCGTTACTGTCGCAGGTATGGAACGCCGGAAAACTTCGGGTTATCCTCTTCAGGTCGGTCTATGTGGACGGTTGGTTGGTGTTATGGAACATTCTTTCTATGCCTAGAAATAGGTATGAACATTATTAATGTCTTATATTTGTCTTTATTGTGATTTATATTTACAATATACAAAGCAAAAAAGGTATTAATATATATTTTAATTTCAATATGATTATAAAATTTGTTTTAAATCTTCTTCTGCAAATAATATTTCTGTTCGTAAGCGCAAATAACAAATGATTGCTTTTGTTTTTCCAGTTACAAACACAGTATTGAAAAAAAAATGTTCCCATTCCATAAATTGAATACGTTTCTCTCATATTGCTTTTTTAATTACTTTATATAAGTAAGTTGAAACCAAGTTTTTAACAATATTTCAAAAAATTGTACATGTATATATATTAGCCAACCAATAATGTTTTGTATACCAAAGATTCATTTATCTTACTACCATTTCAGATCATTCTCATGAAAGTACGGAAGATAAAGGTAACGGATTGGGAGCGTACTCTCCCGGCCCGGAAGAATTTTATGAAGATAACGGTAATTTAAAAGTAGTTTATACAAAATACAGTATTTATTCTTGTTTTTGTTGTTGGTGATGATGGTGATGATGATAATGATAATGATGGTGGTGGTGGTGGTGGTGGTGGTGGTGATGATGATGATGATGGCGATGATGATAATGATGGTGGTGATCGTGGTGGTCGTGGTGGTCATGGTGATTATGATGATGACGATGATGCTGATGGTGCAGTTGTTTTTTGTTGCTCTTGCTGTTGTTCTTTTGTTGTTGTTGTTGTTGTTGTTGTTGTTGTTATTGTTATTGTTGTTGTTGTTGTCAGAATAGCAAAGTCATATAGTTAGCATATCAAACGGTATATTTTCGCACATATTTTTGGAAAGTTGCCGAATTATGATGATAAATAAACACGTGCATATCATGACTTGATTAATATTGTTGGAAAATAGATGGCAACAATATAAGGTTAACGACACTACAAGTACCTATGAGTAATGACAAAGATTTCGCACTTTTTTGTATTATTTTTGATGACATCTCCTTGACAAAAATAACAAAATCTAGCTCATCCGGAAAGGCTGTGGTCTTTTATATGAGATAAGATGTCTTTGTGTCTGGAAATGAAAGTGATACAAATAGATGTTTTGTTCTGTTGTGAGATATAAATAGTAACAAGAAACAAGTAATAGACATGCGAAAAAAAGTTAAATGCGCAGTAACAATGCTGTTTCGAAGAATACCATATTATTTAGTGATCAGATAATAGTCATTGTTAGTATTAATGTCTATTGTAAGATAAATTGGGAAAAAGTAGACATCGAAAAAAATAACCAGGGAATCGACTGGCTAAAAAAAAGTACAAAATAACAATGCCGTTTAAAGAACATCATATTACTTTGTGATCAGATAAGAATCAATCTTAGAATTGAGATATATTACATGTATGTGAGACACATTAAACAAATAAAAAAATAGAAAGACTGTTTAAAATAACAAAGTAATCAGCCTGTAAAATATTTTAAATACACAATAACAATGCTGTTTTGAAGAATTTCATATTGTTAAATGATCAGATAAGAGTCAAATTTAGAAATGATGTATATTTTGTGATATATTCCAAAAAAAGTTACATCGAAAAAGATAGATTGTTTAAACAACCCAAGCAATCTACTTCTAAAAAATAGTAAATTCACAATATCAATGCAGTTTCAAAGAAAATCATATTATTCAGTGACCAGATAAAAGTCTTTGTATTGGTATATTTAATGACACATATTCTGGAGAAAAAAAAATGTCAGTAACGATAATTGTCAAGTTAGAAATTTCAAAAACTGTTGAATACACTTTTTTACTCAAAACACTTTTGTCACTGTTTTAGAAACAACAACATCGCCAGGCTATAACTCGGTATATTCCAGCCCCAGATATATAGATACGACAGACAATGCCAATGTTACAGAGCAAGACTTTGAAGAAGAAGGGGATTCCAATCGAGAAACAGGTTCATTAGAAACTGATGAATATATTCCAAATGAGGAATATTTTGAGAGCGACATGTTTCAAGCAGAGATACCCACACCTGCTATGAGTCATCCGGAATTCGTTTATTATGGACCAGATCCTCGAATGAAATGTAAGAACCTTGCAAATGTGTCAAGAATAATCATAGTTTTCATACCATTTACACTTATCTTTAAACTATTTTGTCGAAATATTCTAAACTACATAAAACTGACATTCCACTTGCATGTTTAGCTGAAAATGCTAGTTATTTTTTAAAAAATATTTTCTGGTAGTCTATAGCCATAGTGATTGAACAGTAAATGATGAATACGAATGTTTTTAGAACAAAAAATAAATAAAAAAAGATACACCAAAAACATAAATGAGTGTTCGACTATTCGAGTCTTTTTTATCTATTGAACAGTATCGATAAGGTTTGAAGAATATATATGTAGACATTTTTTGTCAGTCATGTGATTTATTCCTTTTTCATACAAAGTAGACTATAAGATTGAAAAATGTACTGTAATTTTGCCTGTTTTTGCTTTATACCTGTACACTCGCCATTTATGCATGAATGGCCATGCCACCAGTCATTTCTTTTTTTCAAATTTAAATGCTAGTAGTGAATTCATAAACAATAATTTATTATCTAATGAAAGAATATTTGAAGAAAAGAAACGAATAAGAATTAATGAATTCATTATGATTGTTATTAATACCAAATAAAAAAACAACAGGCATTCGATTGTGTCTATAAAAAGTATAATATATTAAAGTCTGATGCCGGGTGAAAACAATAACGCCTTATACACACTTTTGAATTATTTTCCTCTTTCCTTTACTGCTAAGTAATTTTCAAGCACATCGGAAAAAAGTCCTTTTATTTGTTCATCTTTTTCATAATCAAGTACCATTAAAACGGTTGACATTTATTTCCCTGTTATTCCTTTAAGTAAAAGTACATGTTTTAATGATGCATTTAATATTTGATAATACCAAACATGCAAACAGCTTGATTTGCGTAGTTAAATTCTGATCACTGATCCAAGACTGTTTGATTTTCCTTCTCTCTGTGCCTTTCGTATGAAATTATATATTTTTCATTTCAGTTTGGTTGATATTTGGAATAGTCGGTGGTGGAGTAGTAGTGGTGATTCTTATCTCTGCCATTGCTTATTTAACAATACAATGGTAAGTCACGTGATTATCAAAGACTTTTATCTTGTTATGAGTATGACAATATTCATTAGATATAAACATTTTCGAAATCTTACCCTAAAAGTAGCATTATGCTGAATATATGAAAAAAAGACAATGAAATAATTTTCTACTTACGTAGACTGTAGTTCTTACAATGAAATATGTTTTACGCATACAATTTTACAAATACAATAACAGTTGCACATAAGTAAAGTCTGTTCGAGTATCAGTTTTAAAGAAATCTAGAGAATTTTCATAATGTCGTGTCATAACAAGTATTATTCACTCCAAATAAGCATAGTTATATAAACACAGCAATAACAAACATAAAGATAGAGGATTATCTAAAATAATGAATATCGGGAACAGTATGTATAAAAAATATACATATATATGTATTAAATACTCAAGAAGCTTGACCGGCTTTAAAAGACACATTTTTCCAGATAAGACGAATATTGACGTACTAAGAGCCTACAAAATTACGAGTCCATGCAAAAACATCTATTTAACAATGCATACATTTAGCATAATACAGGTGTATATACAAAGAATCAAATTGAAATATTACTTTTTCTTTTCAGTTGCAATGATTCAAATACTGAAGAGGTATCTAATTCCAAGTCAAAAACCAAATCCAACAGGAGGTATTTCCGACCAAAAAAATGGTCAACTTCGGCCCTTGTAACGTCAGAACATGAATCGGATGTCTACGATTTCATTCCAGCTGCAAAACTGAAAGCGTCAGCCTCTTTAAAGATAGAACACGAAACATGTGAAAAAGAATTGTATAAGCAAACATATAAATCAACGAATGATAAAAACATTGTAAAAAGCAAATCTGATAAAGATACCATGAAACATAAAGCTACAACTTCGCAAAACAGTAATTCTTTGAACAGAAATGATTACTTTATCCTGATGCCACACAACCTGGTCACTGAAAATGATGTCGAAGTTGTTTATACACCACTAACAGAGAACATATATGATCATTTAGTTCATACACCAACAGGAGCAATACCAGACGCATCAACATACCATTGTTTAAATTTTCAAAGAGAGAAACCTCTTGAAGAAGGTGACACTAAATCGTGCAATGAACAGGATATAACTCTCAGTGAGTCTAAAAATATTGATGAAAACGACAACAACAGTAAATCGGAACACAGCAAACACGACAACAGTGTGTCAAGTAAAAAAGAAATCTGTATCAAATTAGAAAAAGTTCTAGATTGCCAAATTGACAATTTATCTGACACAGACAAAACAACAGCAAAATCAAATCTTGACAATAATAATATTGAGAAAACAGATAGGGCAAAAGTACTTCACACTGAAATATAAACTTGATATAAAATGTGACTTTAACGCTATTGTGTGAAAGGAGTAAATGTCATTGTGAAGAAGTTTAAAATCATTTAATGTTACAATACGTTCCTTTTTTTTTAGGTACTTTTTAACATTTTAATTTGCTTGTGTTTTTTATTATTTGTACTTGGAGTTGAAAATATACGAGTGAACATTATAGCATTCGTTTATATTTTTCTTTTCTTATATCAAATCAAGAAAGGTGCAACACGAAGTGACGAATTGAATTGCAGGCACTTTGTTTGGCACCAACAAGCGTTCTCAGGGGCTACTTCCTGTTTATGTTGTCCCAGATTACGGTTAATTTAGGCTCCCATTGACAAAAGTAGGGTAATCTACTTTTGACTCAAAATTCAAATTTATTGCTATCTAGGAAATTCTGACTGATATTTATATAAGAGAATGCACAAACTATTTTTGGGAAGCTGTATTCCCTATTATTGGTCAAGAAAATGTTGTCCCTTCTTTAAAAAATGCCAGTTTTTATTGACACTATATATTAATGCTGTGTTTACCTATGATGTGTAGAGCAAATTTTTTACTCAAGATATGTTTACATATAAAAAGAGGCTGTATAGTAATTATCAGTGTTTTTTTTTAAATATCAAATGTGGGCATAATACACGGTATCGTTAAATGTTCTTTTAAATATATTATCAATTCAAATATTTATAAGGAAAAATAACTCGATATGATCATAACAGGAGTTCAAACCATTGTTAATTGTTTAAATTTTGCCTTATTGCAGGAGATAAGCTGAAGTGAATATTGTACATTTAGATCTCTTTGTGTTGACCTTGTTCGAATAGTCTGTTAACTATATTTAGATACAATTCATAGATATAAAAGGCAAAAAATGGTGAGTAATAACTTGTTTTACCGATTATCCACATTTCTTTATTGTTTTAACATAACGAACATAGTGACTTTGGCAATTAAAATATATTGGTTTAATTGGTGATAAAAATGTAGAGGTTGATCAACATACATTTTATTCTGGAACGGGGGAAACCCACTAAAGCATTGAAAAAGAAAACAAATAATTGAAAATCTCAGACTTATTTTTATCACAAGTCTATTCTTAATGAGAGATTATGAAAAGATGCCCTGTAGCACCGGCTTATACGTTTTATTTTTCAGACATGGACCAATATATCAAAAATTAAATTGATAAATGGTTTAAATACGACATTTCACTTATTAAAGTTACATGACGTATACTCGTTCATATTTAGAAGATGCGCCATTCTGTAATAGCAATATATAGTGAAATCATATAGAATCTATAATTAACATGCTTGTGCATTTAATTTTGAGATATCTTAGGGGCAATAAAAAAAAATCGCAGACTTGTATCATGCAGTCTATAAATGAGTGATCTTTAAAAGAGCAACTCTTACATTGGTCATATGTATTCAAATTCGTAGGCATAGTTGAAAAAATAAGTGACAAGATAACCGTTCATAAAATGTCAACTATTGAAACACAATGCTGTGATATTTCCGCCTACACTCCAATATCCATTTCATTCCCGAACTTGGATTATTCTCATGGCAATTTTGATGAACCTATGTGTCATATATTTTTAACAGATGACTCAGTTCTTCTTATTTTCGTGTTTAATTGCGCAAAGCGTGGGATTGTTTTTCGATGCTGAACTTGATAAGGGATGGAGTGTATATAAAGTTAGATATGGTAGACAATATGATGCAGTGGACAACATTCAAAGGTGAAACTCCATTTAGAAACTGAGTGAAATTGATGAATAAAATGACATAGATTTGTAAATGGTAATTCGCTTAAGCAATATCTTTTTCGATCCTAAAGATAAACAAGTACCATTCTTACTCATTATGGTTAATTTGCTTAGACCTATTATCAGTAGTACAAATCTAATGTTCTTTTAACTATCATTGTAACAACATGAAAGCCCTTTAATTCTTAATTGATAAATGTTAAATAGTTTAATATATCTAATAATTAGTAGGTTTTATTACTAGGCGTGTTATGTGGGAAAGAACCATACATTATATTCAAGCTCACAATCTGGAATATTCACATGGGTTGCACACATACACTCTTGGTCCTAATCAATTTAGTGACATGGTAAGAAAATCTAAATCATCATTCTGTAAGTAAATTTCCTAATGTAATTATGCGAGATGGTTAAATTTAGATGCACTATATTCAGTTATTTCATTTTGATTATAATGTGTAATATCATATTTTTGTAATTCTTCTGAATACAAGCCCTGAAGGCGAACAATGTTGCAAACTGATATGTGTCGTAGATAACAAAATATTTATCTATACAAGTTGTTCAATGAAAGATTAAAAACACATTCATTCTTCAAAATAAGGAGAAACAAAATCCCTAAACTTATTATTTTAATTGTTTCAATGTGCTATTCTTTTCTAATTCCCAAGGCTCCTGAAGAATTTTCATCTCTTGTAAATGGATTTAACGAGTCTATCGAACTAGATCGGAACGTTTGTAGTGTGTATGCACCACCGAAGGATATCACTTTAGACAAACTAAATAAAACAGTTGATTGGAGAACACATGGTTATGTCACCAATATAAAGGACCAGGTTTGTCTGAAGTCTTGTATCCTAGAAAATTCCCTGAAAGATATAATGTTTTATTTCAATATGGTCGCACCTGTAATGGTACACGGATGTGAGCTCTGGGTCTTTATAATCATAAAACGTCAAAGTTTGAGTGTCATTTAAAGTCCTACAATGTGTTTGATTAAGGTTTCATCCAAATAGAGAAAAACGGAATTCCTGAAGAAACCCAAAAGGGCAATACTGAAAGTTTTGCAGGCACGGTTTGATTTTGCTTGTCATCGTTTACATGTGTTTTCAAGTTTCATAATTGTTACATTTTAATAAACAATTATTACCGACAATGTACTACTATTTGATAATGTTCACAACTAATGTGATATAATTCATTCTAAACATTGATTGTTATGAATATAAATGTACGCTGGGATGAAATGATTCTAGGGTATGTGCCGATCTTGTTATGCGTTCTCTGCAACTGGAGCATTAGAAGGACAACAATACAAGACAATTAGACAGCTTGTTTCAATCTCTGACAAGAACATAATTGACTGCTCCTATAATCAAGGTATGTCTGTACTAAAATCACTACCCATTCCTTAATCGAAACTGCGGCATTTCAATAATGTTTTCGGTGGACATTTATTCGTGTGACGAATGTCAAACTGTTATCATGGTTGATGTTATTGTTTTCTGAAAGCTTGTTCCATGAGAACTTCAACAGAGATCCTTAAATTCTGGAGGTGTCTCACTAGTGCCTTCCTTACATATTCTCATTGCACACAAAGAATGTTTTACACAAAACGTCATTTCAGTCCAAATATTAGTTTTATGAAATTCTAGAATAATCATATTCAATTACATTAAAATCTTATCCTAACTGTCTCTCCACTATTCTTCGCTAGCGTAACCGAGCGAAATCGATGATCTGATTTTAACGAGATTCGATCATATTGAAAATGTACTAAGTATTACACAAAGATGGCTTCTAAATATAGTCGTTAGGTTTTTTACATGACGGGACTGGAAATACTTTTTTTTCGTGATTTGTGTACCGTTTGCAATAAGTCTGGACAATAACTTGTATGCAAAATTCCAGATCATTATACCAGAATAATTATTTAATGGTAAATAATACATGTAACCCATTTATGACAAAAGTAAGAATTTCAATTTAATTCGGAGTATATATATTTCATATATGAGTTATCTTTTCATATCTTTCAGTTTTTTGTGCCCCATTTTGTTTATGTAAGAACTTCAAATCCTATGTTTTGGGGCTTTTTCTCATCAGTCGAGTTCCTTTAATTGTAAAGTTTCAATTCTATCATTCAATTTGAAGGTAATAAAGGATGTGATGGAGGTACTTTTAACAATGCTTTCAAGTATGTCATGGAAAATGGAGGTTTGGTAGCAGAAAAATCGTACCCATATTTACCACGTGTAGGTTTCAGTATCAGTATATAATAGAAGTAGATTTAATAGAAAATATATTAAACACATTGTAGCATATTTTTGTCATTACGGTTGTGTTTTTTTTCCATTCCTTTTCGTGCTTTTCCTTCTATTGTTTGTTTTATTTGATCAATTTTATGAGGGGAATGCTGAAAATGAAATCAGACATGAGATATAGATATAGAAAGTATTTTACTTTTAATTGATAATTGAGACATAAACACAAGTATGTGTGTCGAAAATTCTAAATTACCGAACTTTATTGTTTTGCATTAATGGGATTCTTTATTAACGATGTGATTTTTCTTTCAACAGGTCGATAAATGTAGTTTTGAAAATAAATATGTAATCGCAAATATGACTTCATGCCGAAGCATTCTTCCGAGTTCAGAGAGAGACCTTCTGATTGCTGTTGCTCTTGAGGGACCGGTCTCCGTGGCAATAGATGCAAGTCAAAAAAGTTTTCAAAGCTACAGGTATATTAAGTTAAAATACCTAGTATGTACATGTATTTGTTCTTGTGGATGTGCAAACTACTGACATGTATTCCACATGGAACAAATACATACTCAGTGAAAGAAGTATGGTATTATAATATATAAACAAGAAAAGCATTGATGCAAAGCATCAAAGGGCGTCCAAGCAAGAAATGCAGCAAGTGAAGATGAACTAGTAAGACATATGATGACAAGATATTCTTATAAACTTTTCAATGGTTTTTACCAGAATTGTATATCAATTATGAATGAGCGGACGAAAGACATTGTTCATTATGAACTTTGATTGGCATGCTAGAGATTAGAATATTACTTGTTATTTCTTTATGACCGTGGTTATTAATAGCAACGGATTTTGTGTGTTTGCGTTTGTTTACCCTCGCCACTGGAAAGAGACCATATGGGCGAGCAACGGATATACATGTATACAATCATTTATAATCCATTGGTAACGCATGATCAACACCACACTTGTGTAATTGTCCCTTATTATGTTATCGCTATTAGCGAAGACCCCCTCTTAAGGTATCTATTCACACTTAGTAAAAATATGACACTGGTTATATTACCATGTTGATCATGTTGAGCATAATTGTTTATTATACAATAATTGTAATATCTATTAATTTTGATAAAAAAATACAGATTTTATGAACATTGTTTTGTTTTCTTTTTTGTGTTTTATGTGCTATTTTATGTTTACTTACTTTTTTTAAAATTTAAATTGTAAAATAAATTTTAAGAATTCAATTGTCATATTGACCGACGATTATAAGTCAAAAATTAACTGGAAAAAGTCAGTAAGTAATGGTTAATCTTTCAATATATAATATTGTTTATTCTTATATTCTTAAACCATGTACATTTGTATTTTTCTTTATCATTTTTTAAATTATCAATCAATTGAATAATTCATAAAATCTAATTTGTAACTTTGAATAATTCCTCGGCATCTTTACTAACCACGAATAACAAATTAAATAAAATGTTTCAAAGTTGATAGTGTCGTTTTAATACCATAAAAATGTACCTTTTTTCTCAATTATTGTACATATTTATTGTAGATAAAATGAAACATGCTATTGTTGTTGTTCTTGTTGGGTTTTTTTTCGAATTGTATGTTTATGTATAATAATAATCAATAAATTTGAGAGTTGATCTGTGTTAACCAAATTAACTGACAAACATTCATTTTGGAAAAAAAAGCTTATTTATCTGTAAAATATTTGTTCTGTTCTGTAACGATATCAAACATCTACTCCAAAACCGGGAGAGACCGGGTACTATTCGCCGGTCACTAGTAAATCCCGGGAATTACCGATAGGAGCACATCCCTCTATAAATAGATTTTCGGAATATTTAGGTCATCAACTCATCATTGGGATAAATGTACAACAATAACATACCATAATAATCCACTGTGTAAATAAAAAAAACCGAAGAGCGCGATTTATTGACGGAAAAGGTTATTATTTCATTTGAAAATGTTTGCAAGTTCGCTATTCATTGTACCACGGAATTAATTAATAATCAAGCACCTTCATACCGATCGGAATGATCGGCTTTTATTATAACCGACTAAAAGGCTCGAGAAGTTGCTGTCGCCCTTTCACAAAATCTGATTTCATTCCATAAAGGGGCGCCGCGCTTCGGCGCGGATGCCAAAAAAACTAATCATGACAGCAAATGTGTGATATATCGTGAGGGCGGTATTTATTCGGCAGATTTAAGATCCCAAAGCATGCTATCCTTAATCTGTAGATTATCTTCCATTAAATATATGAAGCAATTAAAATTTAGAGTCCGGAACCTGAGTTATTGACTTACTTAAAAGCCATCGTAACTTATGTGAAATAAAACAGATTGAAACGTTTTAAAATAATATATTTAATATATTGATTATCTATGTAAGGTATAATCTATACTAAAAAAAGAATTTTCGGAGAGAAGACAAAAGGGCAAAAATTTGCTTAAACACAATAAAACACCGTTTTGCTTCCATGTTTTCGACTTGTCGTCCCGTGCAAAAAGAATTGTCTTTTAATACTCGACACCTTAGACTTTTCGGTGTGTCTATCCTCAATCTGTCACACAATCTTGAACGCAAACCACAATCATATCATCAATTGACAGTATAAAAGTATTTGAAAAAAGAAATCACTAATACTTATCTATACGAATACTGTTTGCCAACTAAAGCTGAACTTTAGGAAAAACATTAGAATTATACGTACTAAACGAGGTTACTGTATAAAAAATTTAAAATCGTATCTTGTTTCTTTTTCATTTTATATATACTCGTATATGGCTCTATAATTGACTGGTTTTTACTGATTATTTCATTATTTTGGTGAAAAAAAAACAGGTCTGGAGTATATGATGATCCAACATGTACAAATAAACTAAATCATGCTGTATTAATAGTCGGATATGGTACTGAAAACGGACAAGATTACTGGCTTGTCAAAAACAGGTAGATGTTATTTCAATGCAATCAGTCTCATTCAAATAAACATAATGTTTCATTTTCTGAAAAGCATAGACTGCCTGACTGCATTTCCTAATGGATAAGATGTTGGTTCCCGGCAATGAACGCTTATTTGAAATCTATATTCTCTATTGAAATGAAGATAAGCCTTTATTTGAACAAAAATTTCGAGTGCACTTTCCGGATACTGGTGTGACGAAACGTTATAAAGAGTTCATCTGTAGTCGGGACCTAAACTACGAGACATGTTTAGTTTAATCCTATTTATTTAAGCTCGAGTGCGAAACAAGTACTTGCAACTAATTTTAATCACATTCGAGTCTGCCTCTTGGAACTAACTAGTATTGGTGTCATACGAGGAAACATGATAGTGACCCGAGTAGGGCTCGGACCCTTGATCCCTGTTTTGAGAGGCAATCATATGAACTATACTCCTTATTCATCTCTACATTCACAATTTACAATTTATAAAATTGTTGTTTTTTAAAAATACGATGCTCAAATTTGATATTTGAAAATACTGGGAAGAATTTTACAGTCTTTTTGAAATGTTAAATAAACTTCTTTCGAGGACATTTGAGCCGTGTCACGACAAAACCAACATAGTGGGTTTGCAAACAGCATGGATCCAGACCAGCCTGCGCATCCGCGCAGTCTGATCAGGATCCATGCTGTTCGCTATAAGTTTCTCTACTTGTAATAGGGTTTGTAAGCGAACAGCATGGATCCTGATCAGACTGCGCGGATGCGCAGGCTGGTCTGGATCCATGCTGGTCGCAAACCCACTATGTTGGTTTTGTCGTGACAACCATTATGTTGGTTTTGTCATGACGCGGCACATTTTACGTTTGATACTCTAAACAAACACTATAGGTATTAAAACAGTATGAATACATAGTGTTATTTAAAAAGCTGGGGGTTTTTCAAGGAAGGAACGAATAAACTTGACCACTAATAGGGAATACAGCTTCCCAAACAAAATTCATTCTGGCATATTCAGTTAAGAATTTCTACAATAAAAGTAGTTTACACAAAAAATGAGCAAAGTATAGTTTTAATTATTTTGTCTGTCCGTAGATGTACCGATTTCTTTCTTTTTCTTTCATTGTGATAGTTGGGGAGCACAATGGGGCGAGAACGGATATATCCGGATAGCCAGAAACAAGAACAACATGTGTGGAATCGCCAATAAAGCAAGCTTTCCTGTGATGTAGTTTTTCTTATGACACTCAAAACTATATCTAAAAGAGAACAGTTGAACTGAGACTCTATTTATTTGAACACTTTTATGTGTAATCCTTGATCTGTAATTATATATTTTGTCTAAAATTGATACATTTTGTTTCTATGCCTGTCTGTGTGTGTATTCAATTAGGTGACAAGTTATCTTATTGCAAAATGATGAAATATTAGTAAATGAAAGAAAGTACCTTACGTATAACTTGTAAACCTATTAGCAAAAAATTTAATTTCATTTTATACATCTCCGTAAATGAATGTTAACTGATAAAATTTGATAAAAGTAAAATATTGAATGTTGGAAAATATGTGGCGGCCGTATTTCACTCTCCCCGTATTTCAATCTCCCCTTGCCACGTGGTAGTGATCTTATGCATGATGATGAAGCACAGCGACTAAATGAATGACGAATGATTCTAAAAACGACAAGTAACTGAAAAATAAGATTTAGCCCACGTTCCTATAAGATAATATCATTTATGTGTAATGTTTCGATCCATTGATACACTTTTGACCAGGTAGATATTTTCAAAAATGTCCTCCAGGCCATTTTGATATGACTGATGCGTGATACTTGTCCAAGTATCATTGTAAACAGTACCCGGATGACATTAATCTGTAAACAATGAATATCTATCTGAAATTTGCATAATAAGGTGGGTTCTGTTACCAATCATTATGAATGGGATTGAGACAACAAGTTGAGATTGTTTGGTGATGTATATCTCTTTAAGAAAACGTAATTCAACAGAAACAAACACAATAAAGCGTTTCTTGATTAATGACTTAAAGAAGCACGCCTCCAGATTCATGTTAATTTTTATATAAATTTTGGAAATGTATTTAAAAAGTAAAATATTGTGAGGTGAACAAATAAAGTAATTAACATATTGCAATCGGCACATACAATCCAAGAAAATTACCAAAATGTGGTCCATATATGCATAAACAGTCCTTACTGCTTTAGTAACGAGGTAGAAATAAGGTGATAAAATACTGCAAAATCAGTCTTTATCCGCATATAACATGTAAAATATAACTTGGATCTTCAATATTTTTACATTTCTTATATATAAAATTTTAGTGCATTTTTCTCCATTTTGATTTTCTTGACATATTTTGGCTCATCTGGAGGCGTGCAGCTTTAAACATGGTTTATCACTTTAACGAATATGTAGACACGTCGATTTAAACAAAGTGAATACAAATCAAAGACAAAAAAAAACGCAAGAAAAAATAAAACAATTAATTTTCAAGAAAATGTATAATATTCTATTACACTACCCTGTGTAAAGCAAGAGAACAAGTTGTGTCGTACATGAGTAGATGTATCAAAACTTAATATCTAAAAGTGGATTGGTCTACAATGGACACATTTTCCATAAGTATTTCAAATATTGATAAAATAATAGAAAGGTATCTTTTTGATGTTAATTAAAATGTCGCCTGAATAAAAAAATGATAAAGTATTAAGTGATTTAGTATGAACATTTATATGATGAATAATACTATTTTGTTCTAGAGCATTTAATAATCTGAAATATAAAGATAATTATGTAATGTCAGATCGTGTATCTCGCCCTTTCGGTTTGTTGTTCTGTTTGATACATAATATTTTTAAAGCATTTATTCATTGTATTTTAGACTTTCTATTATAGATTAATTAATTCACTTGAATATGTATTACAAAAGTTAATGAAATATTATTTTAAAACAAAAATGACCAATATCTGTTAACAGAGCGTACTTAAATTAAGCAATATTATACCATATTTGGAATACAATTTCTTTGATAAACACATCATTAAACCTTAAACCTTTGATCAAATGACAATGATTTGATTCAAGTAAGCTGTTAAGAATTTGTTACATGTTGACAGAATTTTAATTTCTTACATAAAATACCGGTTAATATCAAAAACAAAGATACCATCATCTGTTTAGTCGAGTGCATAATTTGTTGTTGACCAGAGGTCATTTGTTCGATATTATCTTAATGACTTCAATGACCCTCCCGACAATAAAACAATACAATACATGAAAAAAAGCCTTTGGCGGAAAGATACACATGCGCAAAGAATTCCAGCACGCCTTGATATTTGCGCCAGTAACAAATTTGCGATATCTGTTCATAGAAAAAGATTAAAATAAATGTTTATTGAGAAAAATGATTTGATTCGTGAATAAGATACTACTATTAATATTTTTCTTCCTCTGAAATTTCGTAAGAAATGTTAAACTGGATATATTAGATGTAAAAATGAAGGGAACTTTATTTTACGGACTATTTTTCGGATTTATTTGTGCGTGTGTATGTTTTACAGAGGAAGATATTCAAGGTATGAAATTAAATCAAAATTTAAAAGAAATCTTATAAAACTTAAACATGTTTTAAACACCATCAAGAACTGGCCCCATGTTCACAAAGATTTAAGGATCAGGATCAAATTAACATTAAAATAGTCTCCATTGGTTATAATCATAGATTAAATATTTGAATTTAACTTGATGAAACTGGACTTAAAATACACTTCTTCAATATTCATTACATATATAGAATTTGAAAGCTAGATTTTAAGTTATGTAGAACAGTGTATTTTATCTTTTCCAAATGAAAATTGGTAGACAATGAAATCATGGAAATCTTAAGTTATAATATCATTTTTGTTATAATTGTGAGAAATTGTTCATAAATAGCAATATACAAGTTGTGACAGACTTTGTCAATCTCAAAATTTTCAATTTGTATTTAGGAATAGAACCAGGCTGATTCAAGTAGATTTCTGTTAGAATCAAACATTTATTTCTGTATACGTTTCTAACTGAATGTTGAATGACTGTTTGCGTATATTTTTTGTCATTAAAATTGTTATGACGATGCACGTTATGTTTCAAATAGTGCAATTTTATCTGACATTGTTACACGTGTTTCTGTTAAATTTTCTTTAAAAAATGAATTTATATGACTTGAAATGAACTCATAATCGAAATGTATTTCCTTGATATTTAGCTTGTCAGGATGACACTTTCGGCGTTATCGTCTGCAGCAGCGTTAATTTCTACAGGGAATGTTTAGTGTCCGGAGCTAATCAGGTTCATGCAATCAAACTCAACAAGAACTTTACACGTGCAAAGTGCGAGTTTAAGAAAACGTTTGGATATCGTGGCAACGCAATTTGGGTTTCCGGCGGTTGCAGCGGAGAATTCTACTTATGTTACGAAGGAGGTATATACAGGGATCCTATATCATATACTTACATAAACTTTTATTTCATTATGTCATTTAATTAAAAAATATATATATCAAAAGAGTAATTTATTTTATTATTCAAAATTAATATACATGTATAGATCTCACAAATAATTTACTTTAATACTTTTGCAAACTATCATTTAGATCATAAAAATGCACTGGTAGCTAAATCCGAAAATGAAATGTGTACTTTTGGCAACTTAAAACACGAATGATTTACAGAGTCGTCGGTCTTAACGATTATTTTGTCTGTTCATATTTAAAGGGGTATAATCATATCTAAATGTTATGTTACCCATGTACGAGTAATAATTAAGGGACGTCTGCGGCCGAGTGGTTAAGGTCGTTGATCTCAAGCGAATTTCATCTCACCGCTGTAGGTTGGAGCCGTGCGTACATGTGAGAAAGCTAGCCAGCTAATTTACGGAACATTTGTGCCTGAAATAATGTACAGAGGTCTGAGGTCTTCATCCACCAGTTATGTCGCCTTATGACTTGTGTGCGAAGTAAAACCCCAATAAAGAATCTACCCGTATAATAATGTCGAATAACAACTTTGGGATATGATTTTATGTCAACATTAAAAACCTCATGCACTTGTATCAGAAAAAAATAAAGTGAAAAAGTGAAAGAGAACACATTATTTCTAATCTTAACATACTGTTCATATTTCCAGCTCCGATGCCAAGTGGTAGACCCGTGACGTCAGTTCCTGTCAAAACGACAAAACGTGATGTTGCAGTAGTTAGTGCATCGTCTATAAATGACAACAACAGTAAGTGATCTTTTACATCTTTCACGTCATCTGTAAAATTATTTCATCTAATTTTATCAAATAATACTGTTACCTATTTTTTATTTTTAGCAATCGATGTCTTAGCTGTCATTCAAAATTTATCTTTTTGTAATTATGTCACGACATTCAATAACAGAAATTTCATTTATCAATGTTTATGCTTTCATATATTGCAACATAAATAGAAGCATCCGAAAATATCACTATCCGTTTTTGTATTACAGTTTGGATTTACGTAATAGTCGCATCTGGAGTTGTCCTTGTTGGTATTGGTCTTATCGTCGGATGTGTTGTGAAAAGACGGTATGTTATAGGTATCATCATACTTTCTACATCGTTTATTTTATAAGGCAGTTATGGCGTTCCATAATATATCTTTCAAATACAGATTATTTACATATTCATATTTCATTATCAAAATAGGTGCATTTTGGTCAGATTTCAAAATCGGTCAGATCACCTCTTGCCAATCCTATTATCTAAAACTATCCAACTCCTATGCGTATTCTCGTCCTCTGTCGATAGGTCATATACGAGCATATATAAAAGGGATTAAAGAATAAATAGATATTGTCAATGCAAGAAAATTTAATATTTTATATTGAATAATCGAAAAAGTAAAACACAAACGACTTCACCATATAGATTCAAGTATTTAAGGCATAGTGCGATGGCCTAGTGGTTATTCTGCCTGACTCAACCAAGAATAATGGGTTCGAACCCTTATGTGGAAACGACTATGTTTTCATCAAATGCCACCAGTATTGGTTAGTTACTTGACTCATACACGAGAATTGTTAAAATATAAAGCTAAACAAGCTTAGATAAATAATATTTGAACTAATTATTCAAGACAATCATTATTAGAATAATTATCGGAATACAATATAGAGAGAAATATTAAGAGGATATTTTTTCGTTTGCGTGAAATATGGTATATATTTTCACGAAACATGATAAAATGCCACATATTTTCACGAGCCGGTACGGCGAGTGAAAATATGTGGCATTTTATCATGTTGAGTGAAAATATATACCATATTTCACGAAAAACGAAAAAATAGCATTTTTATTTAATTTCATTATCAAAGAAAATGGTAACGAATCCCTTTGCTTGCTACCAACTGCAATTGTACAGCGCGCAGTAATTTATGCGTAAGCACGCGCTGTTTGGCGCTACATTGTGACGTTATGTAAACAACTCTTTTAACGTCTGTACAGCGTTAATTACTGAATTAAAGATATTGGTGTTTGGATTAATTTTCTTAGTTAGACCATTTTCTATCATGCTAGATAGTTTTCAAAACAAAATTCAAGAAAAAGTTGTTTTGTATTTATCAGATTTTTCAAACAAAACTGCGAAAGAAGTCCCTTTAAATGAATATGAGTTTTGACTCCGCCCACTTTCATATTTATATTTCATATTCATTTTTAAAAAATATGAAATATATTTGACTGATATAGCACCATATTTCATGGGTAAAATTGAATAAAATGCCGTTGTAGATTATTTGATTTGGTGACGTCATTTTATTATATTTTAATTACAGCCAACAGGACGACAAATCCAGACAGCTTGCTGAGAAACGGCAGATCAGAATAGAACTAAAGGAGCATCGCGAAAATATGGAAGAAAACGGCGTTACCATGGTCCCCATTGCAAATAGGTCACTCTCTTTAGAAAGTATAAATTATGGCGATTCTTTTAATTACGGTTATGGAAATGAGAAAGAAGGCTCCGTCTGCTCAAGTCGTAGTTCTAATTCCGGTATGACGTTAATGTCTGCGCGCACAACCGGATATTTAATGAAAACGAGGCCGGCTATACATGGTAGCATGAGACGAATGCAAGGCGGAATACTTAAGAAAGGAATAAGTACCCCTGACATCAGTGTTCTTGGTAAAATGTATTCCGATGCCAGTATCAACTCACATCACCACAGAGCATCTCTGCGTAGGCAAAGCAAGAACTCTTTGGTAAGAGGTAGTCAAAGCAGTTTAGAAAGTGTAAGGGAGGTATGTAATAAATACAAAGTTTTCGAAATCCCTCTAGAAACGAAAATACAGCAACAGTACAGACGACCTTCAAAATATAACACAGTCAGTTTCGGTGTCGGAAGCAGTCAGAGAATTAACGATAGTAGAATATATTCACTTCCGGAAAACATTCCTAAAAATAGCGCTGTAGGATTCACCAGAAGTGCGCATGAACAAGCATACAGATATAGCATGAGGAGCTTGCCAGGAAGTACCAGAAACAGCAGACGAACAAGTAGTCGAAGGGTAACGAGAGCAATCGTTCATTCAAGGTCACCTAGTGACACGCCTGCTTGTACACAGAAATTCTCTGACACTGCAAGTGACGTCAGTGATATCAAAGTACATCAAAAATCGAAATCAAACCACAGTTTCGAGCAGTCGCTCAAAAATAACACAGCTTATGAAATACCACGTGATACACAATATCATGACCCTACTTCTTTAATTGTGAGATCAAAGTCTCCACAGCCGAAGCAAACATTTAATTTTAGAAATGAAAGATCAGAGAGTCCTGTTTCTGTAATCTCAAAAGCAGAAAGTATTTATGAAATTGTAGATAAACTCAAAGTAAATAAGCCCAAAACTCTTCCTAAGCCTAAACTATTACCGAAGCCAAACACTGCAAATGCAATTTATGCAACTGTTAACAAAAGCTATTTCAAGGCCGCGTCAAGAGCTGGAAAGAAAGATAACGTCATATGTTCTACTTTTGACGTCATGTCAATGGAAGATGATGAAGACGATGCAATATCCGCAGAAAGAGAAAGTCAATACGCAAGACCTGAAGCGTTCAAACCAACATCGACATTTACAGTCAATGTGCCAACGATCTCACTTCCTGGTGTTTCAACTGGTGACACTAAAATTTAATTCTTTATTGTTCATTCACACATATGACAGCGTTGGCATGCAGACGAGAAATTTTATTGTTGATGAAAAAAGAAACCCTAAGTTGACTTACGGATCCAACCACTTGCCGTTTTATATTTTTGTTTGCTGCTATGTTTCTTGTTAAATTATACGTTCTTAATGTACATAATCGTATGATCAAATGCCATATGACAATAAAATATCTACTTATATAGCGTTCAATCTTTCCATGCATGTGACGAATTCATAATTACTGTAATATTTAGCAGTGTACAAAGTAAAGCATAATCCCGGATTGGATTTACTATGTAATTGATTATATTATAGCAAGTATAAAAAAGTAATGTATTGCCCTCTTATCATGTTGAGTGAAAATATATACCATATAACCGTTTTATTTAATTTCATTGTAAAAAATGGTAACGAACCCCCTTGCTTGCTACGCAACTGCAATTGTACAGCGCGCAGTAATATTATTATAAAAATTTATAGATGCGTCTTGTTTTGCACGCGATATTTGGCGCTACATTGTGACGTCATTTAAACAACTCTTTTAAACGTCTGTACAGCGTTAATGACTGAATTTAAGATATTGGTGTTCGGATTTATTTTCTTAGTAAGACCATTATCTATCATTCTAGATAGTTTTCAAAACAAAATTCAACAAAAAGTTGTTTGATTTTGGAGTGGTTTTGACTTAGGACAATCTTAAGATACCTTTAAAACACTCCTAGACTTAGGACTGTTTTTGGTCATAACTTTAGGAGTCATAAGTTAGGACCTTTTTTAAGACTTTCTTTGAAACGCAAAATTGTCACAATTTTTAACTTAAGACAAATTTAAGACTTAGGACTCTCCATGAAACGCAGCCCAGGGCTATCCTATCTTTTGACGCTTATCTGAGGTGAAATTCACAGATTTAACGAGCATTACACGTCTTATTTTCTTTGTTGCATATACCCATTGTTTTGGAAATTATAGATCAATATATATTATAGTGATTATAGAATATTATAGTATTACAAATCTAACATTAGTCCTTCTTTCAGACACCTATAGATTTAATTATTTTGATAGAAACAGTTACAATAAAAAGAGTATTTTCAATTAGGATTATTAATTATGAAAACAGTCATTGATCTCTTTGACACTCACGTTTGTTTATTTATTTATTTATTTATTTATTTATTTATTTATTTATTTATTTTGTTGTTGTTTTTTTTTGCGAGTTTGGTTATAAAAAAATTTATAAAAAACGTTTGACCAAGAGTAATTATGAAATAATATGTATTTACTGTATACATTAAAATTTTTTAAAGTACTAAAGGGAGACAATAGAGTGGGAGTGACATTGTACTAGCAAACTGGGTAATACCCCCTTGTATTCCAATTTCTTCTATTTATTATAATGCAACAGATGAAACTTGTCCTGCGAAACCTGTTATCGAAGACAATCAAAGTATACAATTAATCATATAACTATTCCATAACTGTTCTAAAAATAAAAATACTAGAAAAACAGTAAAAATAAAACAAACAAAAAATAAAAAGTACAAACAAGTTTTTGTTTATCATCTGTTTTTATCAACTCCTATCTAAATATGTATCATATCAACAAACAAAAATGGCATCTGGGTATTAATGAAACTGTAAAAGAGAGTATTTTACCAGTATTCATTAGTGTTCTTCATAATCTTAACTTCTAATAAATCTTACATGAATCTCAAGACAATCCTGTCGTTACAAGTTTGACTCTTTTAATTAAGTTCATACATATTTATATGCCAAGCAAAGTTAAGAGCAAGCACAGGTTTATATAACAATAAAGAAACTTCCGGTTCTCTTAGTTAAACAATCGGGCAATTAACATTAAATTACGTATATCAGCGTTGGTCATCAACAGACGAAATATTTTTGATAAAGTTATTTCACCTGATCATAATAACATTATGTTTGTCACAACTTCATTATTTAGACAACTTCAATATTTAGACAACTTCAATATTTGGGTTAATACTTCGCAAACAAACAACATGTACCAAAAAACATGATTGTCAATAGGTCCCTTTTATTCTTATATAATTCTTACAAGGTGACTAATACTTACGATAAGAAATAATACTGTGGCTTCATCTTTATTTGAAGTTCAAGCTGTTTTAACTTTCACTTCCTTCGCTACTTTTTTTATTACATGTGTACCTTTTACTTCCTTGTAGTAAAAAAGGTATCGTGAGTGGTAAAAGGTTGTCATATTTGCAAGTATTCTGTGTAAATTGTCATCGGCAGAGAACCTGCATCAATAATAATAATTGAACAATGCTTTCTTATTGAAAAAGGTCCAAAGGCATCCAAGAATTTTCCTCCTTTTGTCTTTTTCTTGAAAGAATCCGAGAAATAAGAAACTTCCAGTTTGGTCCATCCATGAATAGCGCTCCCTGCATTGTTATGTTGAAACACGGACTTTTAAGTTGAAAGAATAAAAGAGTATCTCTTCTTCGGGCAAAAATTAGTTGAAATAATCCGAAAATTCTTTTTCATCCAAAAAAGGATCCATGTGTCGACTACTTCCGGTTTTGTTGAAAGCGACCTAACTATTAAAGAGAGCAACTCCATGACAGTACAATAATTCAGACAGTCATCAATTGCTCCCTTCAGCATTCGGTCATATTTAGATTTAACCGGAAGTCACGTGATGATGAATGGGTGATTACTTATTTTCTACGATTCCACCACGATCTGTCGTTAATAAGCCAAGTTCCACCATCCACAGTTCGATCTAAGAGCCTCCGTGGCAAACCGGATATAACACCATGTTCATGGTCATCTGTGGGTTCCAATTCAAAGTGATTTTTAAGATAATTCGCAGTAGCTATTATGCCAGAATGTGGATTTCAAAATGACAGCTGATTCATAATAAAAAAATGAATTAACTTTTATGTGGTTGGTATTTTGAAAAAAAATAAAATTACTTAAAAAAATATAATAATGAAAGTTATTTTTAAAAATACTATGAACCAAGCATTTAAATTATTTGCAGCGACTTTTTTACTCATATTAGAATAAAGCAAGGACAATGGAAAGCGGCGGAAAACATAGAAAATTAGAGAAGCAGTCCATTTTAAATTAAAAACTACAAAGAATGTCCCTCTAAAAATTGAATGGGTCTTTTAAAAAAACCTGTTTTGTAGAGGTGGAAATGAACTTATTTTAGTAATGGAGTAAAATATATACTTTTTAACTAGTAATTTGATACTGATTTAAAAAAAAAAAGCTTTTAATTTTTCTCTATCATCATCACAATCATCATCATCATCATATCACCATAATCATCATCATCATCATCATATCATCATCATATCATCATCATCATTATCAACAACAAAAAAAATTATCATCATTTTTACCATCAAACATTTTATATTTCTTTTTTTGTTTTTTGTTTTTTTTTTTTTTTTTTTTTGTTTTACATTCAGCTGATAAATGTAACTCGACACCAAAATAAACTTGTTAAGATGCTAGTAAATAAAGTTTACGATTAGAGTTTTCAACCGATTTTCTTTTTATTCACTTACACAAAGCAAATAAATTTAAATCATTATCTTGCTTTTGTTGAAATCTGACAAAGTTTTTTAAGTGCGGAAAAAAAGTTGTTCATTTTTTTTTCAAAATATGGTTTATGAACAGTATATTTAGCAGGCAAATAAGCATTTAAATAAGCATTCCGTTTACAAAACAACAACAAAACATTAAACATATATATAGATCAATATATCGCAGAAAAATCATTGGTGATGAATTAAGAATAATTTTACATATTTCCTAACTTTAAATCGAGAAAATACTTTGCCATCTCACTATATTATACATGAAAGTTCTCATTTAGCGGGTCGTTAACTTTAGCTAGAGAAACAATTGAGTATTGTTTTGTTTGCCTACACCAGACAAGTTTGGCATCTCGTGTTATCTCGCATAATCTCGCTAAATTATTTCATATTCAATGAAATATGAATCAAATCTATTCTTCTATTCTACACATTGTACCTGTTACGTTTGAGGAACGGGAAACTACGGGTTATAAACTATTTGAAGCACTTGATTACAAATTTATGGCGTTCTTCAGATATTTATGACCACGAAAATGTTCGGAAGACAAACTTCACAATTCGCATAAAATATCGCTCAAACAATGCCCATCTTCGTATGAATGTTTGAAAATAATTTCACAGGTGTTATATTGATTTTAAAATATAAATATACAACTGTATTAAAAAAAGTAATCACAGCTGATTTGTATTTCGTGTGGCGTGACGAAAAACATGAAAACACGACATTATCACCGTTTATTGCGTTTTTGCATAATGACACAACTCGGCTAATTCGAATGAAGGATATTGTAATTCGAAATAAGCGTATTCTAGAATCAAATGAAATTGATACCATACATGTATGTTTCTAGAAATGAATCAACCTTAAAATATTTTCCTATACTAGTATATTATAGCTTATTATAAAGTTATAAAGGAAAAACAAACAAACAGCGGTGTGCAATATATTGCAATATATTGAATAACGCAATATTTTATCTGGCAATGTTATATCGCAATATGCTTTCAGACATCGCGACATGTCTTAGCTATAAAATTTTAATAAAAACCTAAAATTCTATTGAAGATAGAAGTGTTATAAACTTGTGCCTTATGCATAGGTCGACTTCAGATGGCATTTGTTGTTTAAAATCCCTCATTAACAATGCTACTTTTAACACAGCGCGGGGTATTCTATTAAAGGACCTCTCATGTACGATTTATTTGGACATAATACTAAACGATAAACTGTTCTTTAAAGATTCTGAAGGTATTGCCCTTGATTGCCAATCATCTTAGGAGTTGGACCATCATCTTAGATACTGATAGATTACAAAGAGTTTACTCATCATTTTGAAGAAACAATTAGTTGGATTTTAACATGTTTATCAAATATAAGAAAAAAATACAGAATGTATTTACA